TTTATTCTATTCAATCATTCTGATGAAAATCAACTGTAAGTTTGCGGGGCATTAGTGCAACGTGGTTGTACTTGTACTTAAGTTCAGTGGTTCCCAGCCTTTTTACCCCAGCGGCCAGCGGGCAAGCAAAATTAATTTAAGAGTTCGCTGACCGGTAACACATGCCATCGTATGAAGACCACGATGTATAAATCTCTGAGATTCAGAATATTTGTTTAGTTTTAGTACAATGTTAAAATATTGCAGATTACTCCATAATTAATTGGAAAGCCAAACAGAACATGAAAGTAAAATAGGTGAAAATACCCTTGCTGGGTCTCATCTTATTGAGTGCCTTTTATTTTTTGTCGTTTTGTTTTTGACTGCATGAAGTGCTTCGAATTTATGTATGAAATACAATATGCCCAATATTTTCGCTTCGTGTTCAAGGAAGATTATTTAAATGTCTAAATACGATCTGCCTTCACCCTGAAATATGGCCAATTTATAATTTAATTTATTGCAATTTGTATGTTTGTGCCTATTTTAAGTATGGTGAGAAATAAACTACTGATTACTGATTGCAATATTAAAATTGTTCACTTTTATACGAATGGGAATATTTTAGAGTAGATACTCGCGATAATTTAACATAGAGCTTTTGCAACGGATGAAAACCTTTTCATTAGATGTATTCTTATAATTGTGCTTATTTACTCATTCCAGATAAGATATTTGTCAAGTCTTGGAGGTTGCTCCGAGAAAGACTGGATTGGAGAATCATGAGCTCAGTTATAACAAATTTACTCTCCCGCTCTTTCAACTGTGCAGGACGCGGTGGATAAGGAGTGAGTGGGACGCCCTTAGTTTCTGCTATTAAAGGTACGTATGTAATATGTTTATCATATTGTACCACCATCTTTCTCTGCTCTACCCTCTTCTATTTTATAAGTATAAGATTATTTTGACTCCAAATCAGCTTAAGATAATTCATAAGGGAAATGAACAAAAATTGATTAAATAGAATCTGACAATCTGGAGTGAAAACAAAACCTTAATTAAGATTGAAGCGTAAAGAATATAAGGTTTTGCCAAAAAGATGCCTATCGTGTTCATGAATTAAATTAAGTTACTCACACACAACAACAACAGAGATATAATAAAATAAAAACAGGCGAGAAAATTTAGATAAGTTTGGTAGTAAACAAAATGTACTTGCCAGTTGCCACACCATTCATTTTTATCATTATGATTGTCAAATTGAATAATGATTTTGTAAACAACTGTGAACAGTAAAGAAATTGAATGTAGATTTTGTATACAAAAGTGAACAGTATAGAAAAATATTTATTAAGGAGATATCGCCAAGCTGATTATGGTTAGAGTCAAGTGCCAAATTGCCAATCCAATGTTGCCAGAGTTTGGTGCATAATGGCGAACAGTGGTTTTCGAACTTATTTGTATCATCGCTCCCGTACAGTACTTTTTACATTATCATCCCCCCCTAGCACAACAGCAAATTATGAATTTACAAATTAATTTATTTTAAATCAATTAAACAAATAGACTAATCATGGTGCATGATGTTTCTAATAATATAGATGAATTTCAACAAGGAATATTTGAAGACATTTTAGTCAGATAAAATCTCAAATCATCATTATTCCCTCCAACAAATATTCCCCTCAAAACATTGTCTACGCCCCCCTTGCGGAATCAAGAATTTCTGTATTTCTCAATTATTATTGTCTTGTCAATGTAAGCTTCACTCACACATTTGCGACTGCAGAAACTTGGCTTAAGATTCCTACTCTGAAAATTTGTTGGGATGCAGTCATTCAGACTAGGCTTTGAACTCTGGTGCTGTAATTTGCTAATACTGCAATTTAACACAGAATTTTAATATTTTTCAGCTCTGGATGATCTGGCAACGAACTCCGATTAATTTTATTACATGTATACATATTTGTAAAATAAAGACATTTTGTTATTTTTTGTTTTTTATTATATAAATAATGTTAGATTAGTGGGAAATTTCTATGTAGTATAGATCCATCCATACCCTGTCTGTACAACACATCGCCTAACTTGGCCCGACCATGTGCCACGATTGTATTACAACGTGTCACCTACGTAGGCCCGTCCATATGTCATGATTGTGTTACAACGTATCGCCAACGTTGGACCGGCCATATTTCACGATTGTGTTACAACGTATCGCCTACGTTGGCCCGACCATTTGCCACGGTTGCATTACAGCGAAAGGACCGACGTTGGCCCAGCGGCCAAATCTTCGCTGGAACATGGTTGTTCGCCATTATTGGGCCGGTGGTTCGAACAACGTTCGGCCATGGTTGTCCCGACGTAGTTGTGCTATCTGGGAGGCTACTGTACGTGTTTTGGCAGTAACAATTACAAATCAGCGGTAGGTTGACAATGACGTAACAATCGGAATTTATGCCGCCGCTCAGACAATTTTTTTGCTCAGACTGATTTAAGCGTGGTTGCCTTTCCTCGACTTTTGACCCCCAAAAAATTCTTTCTATTATTTACCATTGCAAAAGTTTCGGGGCTATTTTAAGAGTGCTTTTGTGAGTTGGCGCCTGTAAAATAGGGTTTGTGTTTCAAACCATCATTATGATTCATCGCATACAACAATCTGTTTTTTAAAAGTACCGGTAAAGAATTTTAGCCTAGTCTGCGAAAACGAGGTAACGTTACGATTACGACCACGCTTGAAAATCTGTCTGAGCTTACGGTCTGAGTGAGAAAAGTGTCTGAGCGGTTGCAAAAAGGGAACATTGTTACGTCACTTTTTGCATCTTGCTGATTGGCCAATGTCACGAAGTAAACAAGAAAGTCGATGTTCGGGGAGAGGTCCATTGCCTCTTTTTGATAGTTTTGTGCGTTATTAGTCAGTCGTTAGTTGCGTTTCCAAGAAATAGTTGTATATCAAATAACTTAATTATCATTATGTCTGCCGAGGAACTTCAGTTTAGTTACAACAATCAAAAATTGAAACTGAAAACGCTGCGATAGACTAGCCTCTAAAATCAGTACGTAAGCAGCACGTGGTCTACTCTATTGTTTTGAATAATGATAGTTTTGGACATGTGAGTGAATGTGCCATTTATTTTTTGAGTCGGTGATGATTTTAATATTTCATGTCGGTTGTAATAATTTTATTTTTATTTATAAATTAATACCGCTAACTTAAACTGATATTGTCATTAACGACGCCTCGATAACGATAAAATACGCGACAGATACTAAATTTTATTTCAGAGCTATTTTATGAGCTCTAAATTGCAAAAAAATGAGAAAATTTCCCGTTATGTTCGGTCACTATCGAAACATGAAAACAATTAATTAGGACACAATTTACTTTTATATTTATTGCCGGGGACGCACAAACTGTCTTGACTAAATTGAAATAGACAATATTATTTGTGTAATATCAAAAACATCCTCGACGTCTTATAAGTAGGGTTGTGATTTCGTGACCAGTTTTTGAAATCCCGGTATCGTGATATCCCGGGATTGAGCCGTATAATCCCGTGATTAAGTAAAAGATTGAAACAACTTGCATGACAAGTAACAACTTGCATGAAAATCACGTATTTATTTCATGTAATATCGACGCAGAAGTATTAGAGCATCTAGGGCAGTGGTTCCCAACCTTTTTTTTTTTATATCGCGGCACACTATTTAGCTCTTTGAATATTAGCGGCACACCTATCATAAAAGCACGAACATTTACTACCCATTAAGAGTGCGATAGTCGAGCGCGAACAAATGGTTAATAGTTATCGATATTAGATCTGTTTTCTTACATTAATGTAAACGAGAGCGTCTTCGGAGCATCTCACATTATTGTAGAAGTTGCGCATCGCCTCTCTACGTTACGCCCTTATTATTATCGCATGTATTCTCACTTACAATTCAAGGTTTTTCTCATTGTCGGCATTTGCGAGAGAAATGAAAGTGGCAAACAAATTGTATTTCATTACAACAATTAATTATTATCGCTTAAAACACTTCATTTCATTGCATGAGTGTTTGGACTACCACGCGTTTCGCCAGCTTACTGGCGTGATTACAGATCGCAAGGGTGGTCAAAATAGTACATTTTCATCGAATCGCATAATTTTAACGAATTGTCGAATATCGGGTTGAATTCGGAATTTTATTCCGATTTTTAAATTTTGGGTCAGCTTTGATCTTTTTTTGTCACCGTTTGTGAATTAACCGTCCCAATTTTAGGCTAAATCAATGAATATTATCATTTCTGACGGCGGAATGCGGATTTTACTTTTCAAAAGTGTGACTGTTTTATTTACTGAATGACATTTTGAGTTCAAATTATGATTAAATAAATCGGTAATAATGGCAATTCTACTAGTCAAATAATAATTCCTTGGTACAATTTGAGAAAAATTTCGCACAACAATTCCACTTTCACTCACACTGTACGCGTGAATGGCTTTTTTTCAATTAAGTATTGAATAAAATGGTATGTTAGTCGTTGGGTATAACCAACCATTTGTGAGAATATCTATATGTGGGTAGCAAAGTCTTAAAATCCCGGCATTTTTACGAAATAATTGCGGGATCGGGATTGGAAAAAAACAGTCCAAATTTCGGGATCGGGATTCCCCGGGGTCCCAACCAAATAAGACAGCGTTTTATTTCAATTTCCTAAAAATAACACTAGGGCTTTTTTTTTTTGGGGGGGGGGGGGGGGGGGGGGGGTTTCTTATATTTTAATTTATCAAAAACAAAATTATAAAGTAAAGAATTACAATATTTTGAAATATGCAAAATATAAAAAACCGATATCCATTTACTTATGAATAACACGTTTTCATTTAAAATATCTGCAAAACATAGATTATTAAGCATTTAAAACGTGTAGGAGCGCTAGCTTGCTAGCGACTAGGTTAAAAAAAAAAATTCGCGTTATTGACTAGGTATTATTTTAGGGGAAGGCTTATATTAAAAATTAAAATAATTCTTAAAATTTAGGCTAGGTCTTTTTCAGGGTAGGTCTCATTTTCGGGAAAACACGGTATCTCTGTGCTCTCCACCAAAGTGACTATCACTTTGCTCTCCACCGACCCGTCAAGTGGTTTATTGGTTGTCACGGCGACTGGACAGCTGATTGTGAAATGGATTACGACTGCGCTGACTTATTGACACACACGCGACTCGGAAACGGCACTGAAAAGCAGGGAAGATTAAATAGCGCACAGTGCATTCAAAGATGCTTCGACAAACTAAATGGCAATTGGAAGCATCTGATGCTGTAAGTTGGCATCAAGACGAAGCTTTGAATTCAACTATATTTTTACTAAGAGAAATGGGACCAACCAGTTTTTTGTTGAAAGAAGAAGAAGAAGATATGAAACTAAAGGTGAACATGCAGCCATTGGCCTTTTGTACAAGAAGAAATAAAGTTATTACGTTATTGCTGGCTTATGTGTATCAAATTGGTGGCTGGACCAAATCTGCAAATTGGTAGATATTCAAGATAGGTAGATCTGTAGATAGATACATGGATTCATACAATTTTAGCTTATATAGACTACCGTACTGATACAATGGAATAACATTTTTTTTAAATGCGTCAAATATCACATTATTCGATACAGAATCTGAATTTACTAAATAAGAGTTTTAACAAGTGTGAAAGCATCTTTAGGGCTTGGTAGTTGGAGCATTACATATTTATATTTTGAAAACTGTAAACAAATTTCGAATTTTTTCTAAATTTTAGAGTTTATTAATGTATCAGAAATTTTTTAGGTTAACATTGGAGATCCACACAGTTGTACATGCGATGTTTTCAAGAGAGAAAGAAACCCATGCAAGCATATATGCTGGTTAATTTTGAAGAAATTCAAGTGGCCAAGAACAAATGAATGTTAGTTTCATTTACTTGAAATATTTATTTATAATCAAAACCATATCGCCTATAACTATGCAAATGTTTCCTTTTTGTCTAAATCATGTTCCTATGAAGTTTGATGCACTATTATTTTATTTTGCATTCATAAGTTACTGTAGTAACATTTGGATGTAAATTTTAATGGAGCTGTACATTGCGATGGTATCTTGATGGAGAAACTGAAATTTATTTTTGAAATATAGTGTTACTTTTGCAATTATTTTGTGGGGCAGTAGACTACGGTATAGTTATATATTGACATGGAGTGCATATTTATATTACCGGTATATATTTTTCATATTCAAGTATCATATCAACATGGCCTGGTAGAAAGAGAAATCAATCAATTGCTGCAAGGTCCAAAAAAGGTGAAGAAAGAGCCACCCAAGGGAAATAAAGATATAGGTAAAAGTTGACCAATCTTTACATATTATCATTACTGATAAGAAATAGTCAATGAAATAGAGATGGTTGATTTAAACTTGATTTGTGCCTCAGTAACCATTCGGTGCTCCCGAAGTATGCGAACCAAGATGGCGGACATCGGAACGTAACATGAGTTATGGGTAACAGGTTAGGGTTAGACCATAATTTTTTTCCAATTTTCCTTATTTTAGTCCTATTATCAGTTCGAAGACTAGCCAAGAGCCTCCCGTAGTATTTATACCTAAAATTATGGCCTAACCCTAACCTAGTACACATATTACATTCCGATGTCCGCCATCTTGGTTCGCATACTTCGGGAGCCCCAACCATTCTCTATTTTTGACCAAGGTACTTCAGAAAAAGGAACTGCACAACAACGAGCTATTTCAAAATTGGATGTTTGTCCCATATGTCAAGAAGAATTATTGGATATTCATTTGCCTGTAACATATTGCAGGTAAGAGTGGGGTGGTTCATGTAATTGCTGATCAATTATGGCTTCGTCCGCTGTCAAGTTCATGCATCTGAAACAAAAGACTGGCTAGATAATCCCATACCAGACATGGACTGGTAAGCCTATCCTAGAAAAAAATATTATATAGTCTAAAAAATTCCTAATTTAGTCTGGTAATGCCTGATTTACAGTATGTCAAATTTTATAATGCAAACAAAGTATGTTGGTGAATCTCTTAGCATTGCATTTTGGCATCTCTTTTCTGTATGCCATCAATAATTTGTGAAAATTTTGTACTACAGATATGGTTGCGGAAACAGTGTTCATATCAAATGCATGAAGATTTGGGCAGAACATCAACGTCAATCATCTAAAGATGATGAAATTAGATGTCCAATGTGTAGAGAAATTTTTGGAAGCTTTTATAAATTGCTTGAAGAACTTCGGAATGCTTCTGGCGATGATATTGAAGCATACAGACTGGATGTTCATTTTTCAATTTCTTGTAATGGATGTCAAATGTGTCCCATAAAAGTAACTAACGAACCCTCTTTTTGAGATTAGTGCATATTTATCCTGATGAATCGTTTGTTGTAAATATGGGATGTATATACTTAGACGTACATGCCATTAATATACAATTGGATCCCAAAAAAACAGAACCCATTATTTCTTGATTACTTCTATGAAAATGAAGAAGGTGTAATTAACACTCAAAATTTGTTTGTGTATGATTGTATACAATAAATTCAGTAACCTAGTATGCTTCGCACAAAGGTTATGTTCTCTCTAGAATATGTTTCAAATGGCCTTGGTTCTATTTCTTTTTTGGGTCGCCCTATATTTTACTCTTCATACAGTGAACAATTTTTCTTTTTTATATATCAGGGTAAATGCTACAAGTGCACAACATGTTCTTCCTTCTATTTATGCAATACCTGCTTCCACGGTAACAAACATAGGCATCATTCATTTGAATTTCGTCTAAAAAGAACAAATCGTTGGCGCCCTGCAAAGTCTCGACTTCAAACAGATCGGGAACTCGCTATTATTAATGATTTGTCCACTCGTGAAATTACAGACAATGATTACGATTTATTACTGCAATTGGACAGGTTCGTGCCGTTTTTACCCATAAATTTTGTCTCGTCCAGTCAGATTGTGGCAATTATATGTAGAGAGTTAATGATATTTTATCTTTAGCTTGAATGAGACCTCTAATAATGAATGTTCAATCCTCTAGAAATAAACAATTCATTTTGATTTAGGTATTTTAGCTAGACTTATTAACTAGACTAACTCTGTAAAATCATTTATTTATGTTAATTGTTAAAGCATGCTTAATTTCATTACTTTCAAATATACAACGTTTTAAATTATATTTCGTATTGATACAACCAGTTAGATTTTCAGTTCTGTTTTTAGCTCAAGTGGAGACACAGCTCCAGTTGATTTGTGTGGATTACCTGAACATGTCATCAACACTCTTCCAATGATGAAAGTCAGACCTGGAGCTAAACTACTTGTGCCTGGCAAGCAATGTAGAATATGTTTACGATCATACGAGGTTGGCGAATATGTGAGAAAATTACCAGAGTGTAAACATATATTTCATCGAGAATGCATTGATGATTGGCTTTCAGAAGATCACAGGTAAATTCAAGGAACAAAAATTGTATTTTTTTTCATGTTGTTAAACGACATTTTTATTAGCATAAAATGCCAAAATTATTCAAACATTTTAGCTTCGTTTGGGGAAGTTACAATATAATTTCAGTGAAAGTACTTCTTGGTTAGAACATAAAAAAATGAGTATTTGAAGTATTTCTAAATTTTAATATATCTAGACCAGAGCATTGGCTTATTAAAAATGTTTTTGATGCCTCAATTTTATTTCAGAATATTTTGCGTACTATTTTGAAAAAATTGATATAGAAAGTCTTTCACAACTTCTTACTGCTATACAGGAGATGTCCAATTGATAACAGACTGGTGGTGGGAATGCATCGTAGACAACAAAGTGCAACTTCAACGAGTAGACAGAGAAGCAGGCAACAAGATATTGAAGCAACTGATATGTCTACAGAATTAATGATTCCTGGAATAGGAATTGCAAAATTACAGAATATGCAAGTAAGTTCTGTTAGGAATTTTGTTGTTGCTGATTCCAATTACTATTTTGTATCATTTTTGAGTCAGTCTCTTGGGTATGGACAGATTGAGATTATTATATTTCCCATTCAAAATAATTTTTTTAATAAAGAAGAAATGATATATTATGAAAATTGGAAATATGAACTTATAAAACATCACTGTTGTTGCACACTGAATAGCATATATCTACGTCCAATGACTTTTTTGAGCTTAATGCAGATGACATTTTTATTGTCTGTGAAGCTGTGATCTGTTGCGACAGTTTTTCATATAGCCAAGTACCATGGCAAAACCATCATGGTGGGAAATTGTACACTTCTGTCTGCATTCAAAATATATACTTTGATAATCTATGTCTATGACATTCGAAAACTTGATATAAATATGGCTGCCACACTCTTATCTGATTACATTCTAGTAGTCCTGATGCCGTGAGTACCATTTTCCATGGGTATAATTGAAAATTGTTTATGATTCAAAATGTTCGTAATTTTCAATATTATTCAAAATCAGAATGACAGGAGGTATAATGCTGATGCAAGGAATGCAAGCAACATAGACAACCGAACACTTTCAACTGCAACTAATTATCAGTCATCAAGTTCTGTAAACCCTGTTGGAATCACAATTGAAGATGTTGTGAGTGGCTGTCACACACTTAGTTTAAGCAGAAAGGCCGAGTTAAACCATAGATCACGTCACTTATCTCTTCCTCCTCAAAACCCGTTGCATGTGAGACAACGAGCTAAAAGTCGATCAAATCATGCATTTACTCCAAATGGAATTGCAAAAGGATCAGTTGTCCGATCTAGAAACCGATCATTTGAACGGAAGACAGCTCCACATTCTTCCCAAGTAGATCTATGGTTGACGGGAAATTCTCCTTTGTCCGGAACGGATTTACAAAGTATTCGACCCATGACATTTGATGATGACCTGCCATAGAAATATTTATATCAGTTCTACGCCAAGCATAAGCAGCATATTGGTGCATTCCATCAGAAGTATGTGTTCTCAAAACTGTACAATCTATTTGGCGATGATTCAATTGATATTGATGGATGATCTGTTTAGTAAGTTTCCCCGCCTGCAGTATAAATGTGAGATTTTATCCTAATTCTATTCAAAAACTGTTGTGGATTGTTTCTTCAAAATGGATTCTTTATTATCTTGCTTGCCAGTGTACCTTACATAATTTTAAATTCATTTATTTTATTCACTTTTCAAACGGTTTATTTTTGTATTGAAATAAATGTTTATTTTATGTGTAAGATTCTAAGCTCTTCCAGTCTCAATCTGTGTTCAATTTCATTTGTGTTTGAATGGTGTCAAACATAATATTCAGAAATTAAAGTCGCTTGAGAATTCGTGTGAGAATTTAGTATGAGTGCTTCGTAAACTATTTTGTCAGTGTGATAAATAGACTTTCTGGAGGTACGGTATATTGCCACCATGGAATTTGCTGTGTGCCGCATCATGCTAGACGCCGCATCTATGATTACCTTGCGTGGATTTGAATCCCTTGGGGGATAAATGTGTGCTAGACTAGAGAATTGCTGGACTCCTTGCAACGAAGGATGGCGCACGTAACCGCTGGTCGGTTGCGGCTTCTTCTTTTGTCAATGCATCTGAAACTAATAATTGGCTAACTAGTCCCTTACCCGACATGGACTGGTGACCGGGCGAGAAGCCGTGGTTCGCTGTATGATATTAACCGGTCTTATCATCTTTTCTTGGGGGTAGAAATCCATCGAAAAAATAGCATACCGGCGGATTCTTCCATCATTGAGTGCTATAAATTTGATTGGTCCATCAGTTGCGAAGACGGGAGTGTTTTTTTCAACAAGAAGATCAATTTAGATACTTTCAGCAGTGATTGTGCGGGAAAAACATAATGACTGTCTCTAATCAATCCGTGTTTGAAGCGACACCCTTCTCTGGGTTCGATCATTGATGATCGTGCATGGACTTATGTCACTGACTAGGATCATGTTAATGCAATCTATCACTGTGTGTTCTCGCAGTTCTGTGAATATCCCAACATGGAAAGGGTGTATCTTGCTTAAAGACTGTCCTTCTCTATAATAATCAATGATCATCCTGTTAGAGACGAGTTTCTGAAGGCCCATTATGGATTATATCCAAGATAAAAACTTATTTTGCCACGTTTACAACAAACCTAATTTGAAAACGCGTATCTAATTCTCACAATACCAGTAACTTTATTGCCTGAGGCTTATTTTTGCTACTTGAATGCCTGGGGCGGAATTCATCGTACTTGGTAGTCGAAAAATTCGGTGCAATCGACAACGTCGCATTTAGAACTGTTAGTAAACACTATGGCACGGGCTCAAGTCATAGTCCTGGGATTTTTTCTCATTGTATCATGCACTTATCTCATTCATCAAGAGTATGTAGGCGGACTACAAGCTTTTAGAAGAAGCCAGGACAGTTTTATAACCGATTTGGATAATTGCAGTCCGCACAGACTAGCAGTCATCATACCATTCAGAAATGCATTTGACGAACTTATGGAACTAGTACCCAGTCTTCACGAATTCCTTGTCAAGCAATGCGTAAATCACAAGTTTTACGTCATAAATCAAGCCGACATATTCAGGTATGACATTTTCAATAAAATAAGGAATAAGGGGTTTTATTATTAAGTTCGCACCGAACAGTAATGTGGATATTTGTAGTTTATTTATATATATATTTGTAGTAATTTATCAGTTCCAAACGATAGATGTTCAGGACAACCGCAAATAAAAAGAGGCGTGACTACCTACACAGAAATAGTAAAAATTTGAATTATTATTTGTAAAACTTATCCAAATGCGATGCTATAAGTGCGAAGCACCACCGACGTTTGCAAATTGTATTTCATCTGACATATTGCTTTGGTGGGAATGACAAAAATATATCAGGTCTTAGAACTCTCAAAATAGCTTATGCGTGATGTAGATCCCCTCAATTTAAATGGAATTTACGCGGACACCTTATTCTAAAACCCACCCGATTACTTTCAAAATACCTTTTATTCTTTTTCTGCTTTCTACAATTTTTTCTTTATTTTGCAGATTTAACAAAGGGTCGTTGGTAAATATAGGATATCTGTTGTCTAGAGATGAGTGCGATTATTTGGCAATACATGATGTTGATTTACTACCTCTTAATTCTCAACTGCAGTACTCGTTTCCAGAGAAGGTGAGAAAAAAACCAAACATTATAAACAAATTGTTTATATCTTTAATGCTACAAAAAAAAAACATGTTTTTTTGCAGTACAGTATATATTCATGTTGAGGTTTGGGTCGAGTCAATTTTTTTCTTTAACAACTGTTTACATCGAAGGTCGCACGTTTGTGCTAACAAGCATAGTATAGTAAACATTAGGCTTTTATTTCGTTTATTTAAATTTTAAACTTAGTCTGGTCTTACTGATGGGGATTACCGAATTAGTCAATCATCATCAGGATTGGATACAACTGTTTGGCGTCACCTGGCCAAGCTTCGCTACGAGTATAGCTTATTCCCTACAATTTCTTTGGAGTGACTATCTATCAAATAGAACGATCCGGCGCGCCACCGCCAAAATGTATTCCAAGTTTGTTTTATACAGGGCCCATTTCATGTTGCTTCACCAGAATATCATCCATTTCTCAGCGGAAAAACATACATTGGAGGAATCATACTCCTAACAATGAAACAGTTTGAGAAGGTACATTATGAATATATATTTGACTAAAACAAGTAATTTCAATATGATATCTAGTCCAGGTATTTTTAACGCAATACGTAGACGAAACGTCAGTATTCACTTGATACAGTTGTTTAACATCGATATAAATATTTTTTACAACTTTTATCACACGCTTTCATTAATTTAGGTCAGAGGAATGACCAATACTGATTGGGGCTGGGGTGGAGAGGACAACGAGTTTTATATGAGAATATTGAATCAAAATATGACGGTGAGTTATAGAGGAAACAAGTTTAGCATTAAGGGCTGCAACTTGATCAATGTTTAGAGAAAAATTATTTAACTTCCAGAGATCAGTTATATTTGGCTTCAGGTGGATCACTAATGATAAAACGATAAGATTCTGATGTGAGAACACTGACGTAACAACTTCCATGTGACTTTTTAGAACGACAGGTAACCAGTATCAGTCCTACATATACAAAAATGAAACGGAAGCCAAAATTTTGTAACCAAGAGTACGATGCCAAATATATGGGCACGAAAGCCAAAACGAAAAAGTTTACCGTACCTAGTCTACAGTGCGTCACCGGTATCAAATAACCTCAGACCTCCGCGTAGCACGAGTTTGCATAATCGAAGTGGAAGACAGTCGTCACGCTTGGAGGATTGAAAACTGATTTTCCATGAAGAAAATATAATCCAGCAATATTTTGGAAAAATATCAGATCTCAGAGAAATCATGGAAAATTTAGGAATAAATAAATAGCCTTCTAGCGACAATAACAATGTTTAATCACTAAAAATTTCAAAGCAATTGTTCCAATAAAAAAAAGAAACAAATTTTTTTCACAACAAAAAATGAACCTCCAGAAGTATATGCACCAAGATGGCGCACAACAACAACATAATACCAAAACGATCCGTATGTACATTTCGTGTTCAATAAGCGAAGTGTAGGAAATGCTACGAGAATTATTCTAGACGTTGACGTTAGGCATTAATTAACAGGTCTATTACACCAGATTATTCACAGATTTTATTCCGGTGCTAGGGTCCGTAATCAATATCCATCGAAAAAAAAAAACGAGAGAGCACCATGATGTTGTTTCCAAAACATGCATGTCTTTTGGAACATCAACTAACTAATTCCCAAACTTTTGTTCCCATATTTTCATCGGTTTTAATTGAAGGTAATTTGTTCATATGAAAGTCTGGGTTTTAGTGTTCTAATTTCTTTGACAGATTTATAGAAAGTCTGGACTTTCAACTGGGAAAGATAATACGTTCAAGAATCTTCATAATCCAATCAAACGACCGCGAGATAAAAAGAGGTTTAATAAAGAACACAAGGTATAATGCTACAGAAAATTGCATCCTTTATTGAAATTTATATTCCGTTTTCGAAAGTTACTCTTTATGCTTTATGATCTGGAATGAACTATATATATAGAGATTAGTGATTTCATGAATTAACGAAGAATGACTGCCTGAATGCATCTTTACTTTTTTCTCTTCATCAAGTTGGAGGTTTAGCATTTAATGATATGTTTCACTTAACAACCCAGTTTTGATGTGTTTTTTGCAGGATGTTTTTCAAATGGAGACGAACACCGGATTCCATGATGTCGAATACAATATCTCATCAACAGTGGAAATGACCATCAAAAACGTTCCAATAACTGTTTATAATGTTAATTTGGGGTGCGACATAAACGTCGAGAAATGGTGCTCATTTGATACTTAAATAATCGCACTGATCTGCGACACATTTCCTATTTTTTTCCAAAATCGAGGATATATTCGTGATTAGTTTCACGACAGACTTAGTGATTATAAGTGTGTTTATTGCATGAAACCGAATCTGATTTTTTTAGATATATATCTGCTTGAACGTTTCCACAAACCACGTTTTTTATATAATATATTACAATATGTGGGATACGCATTTCCAATTTCGCGACATAGGAAGTGCATTTGATTTTCAGTAGATATTCAAATTTGTTGAAATTGTAAACCACATTGCGAAAACTGCAACTTTGTCTCATTTTGTTGAACAGAGCAAGCTAACTAATTCCCACGTTGTTATTTTATATTTTTATTTATCTGTGAAGTTGAAACTATTTGTTTTTGATAAAATATTTTTAGTGGGAATAATTTTTTATTTATCATGAGGGTTCACAAGAAGTGAAGACGCTCGCCTCGAAGAAAACTTCACGGAATGGATGAGCTATATTTTGAATTTGCGACTCATCATATTTCAACGCATATTTTGTTACAAATACCTTTTGTTAGTTCTCGACGAATAGAAATAAGCAGCGATAATAATTCGATCGAATGTGACAACAGCGTACTCCAGGCAACCCCATGAAACCATCTTTCATTCGTTATTTTTATATCTCCTGTCGTATAGTCATCCTTTTATCTATACGAAGCACCAAATTAAGAAGGGAAGGCTCTGGTGTAATCACAAACATGATTTGTTGGTGCTGTGGTACGGGTGGTAATAAGAAGAAAGCGTAGAGAATGAGGAACGTACCAGAAGCATGCACAGCGAAGTCACCGAGCAAACACCGTAAGTAGGCCTATCCATCGAGTAATTTTATCGACTCGATGGCCAACTCGTAATTTGAACCTCGCTCATGGCTTCAAACTCTTAGGAGACAAGTGGACGAGGGGCGTAGCAAACTATTCTGCTACCCAGGGCGTGCTTTTGATGACCCCTACCCCTCCTCGAGGGATGGATTAACCATCAAGCAAAATATGCATGTGTGCACGACTTGGCCTTTAAGTAGTAATATATACTGATGAATCTTACTTACCCCATTCAGATAACATGAAACACTATTTTCTATAATTTATGTATATGGCACCATATGGGCCTCTAAGGCACGGTTCGCCCCTTACATCTAACTTCAAAAATAATTCAGGGGATAAACGAATTATAGATGCTGTTATACACGAGAATAATTAAATTGAAGGTCAAGCAAGAGTGAAATCAATCAGTCACACAAGGCAAATCACGACAAGTCAGCCTTTACTCAAAAAAAAAACACATCGGGAAAAATATGTACAGCCTGGATCTGCTGCCCCCTACAACGTGCTGACCGGCGGCCCCTCTGACCCTCCCGATCGAAGCATGGTCTATGCTAGGTGATTTCATTTTTAACTCAGCAAACGATTCTTATACCTGTTGAGTGATGGACACCACAATTTCTACATTCCAATAATCCTCAAATTTTATGAGTCATCAGAACGAAGTAAAACCAATGACGGATTTCAAAATAGGGAGAAGTCTCAAATGGAAGGCGAGAAGGAACGAATATACGCAAATTAAAAATTCTTCAAATTTAGGAATAATACTGAACATATTATTTTAAATATTTGTCCAACTCAGCATTTGATAACTGATGATAATATAAAAAATTGACTTCACCTAACTTTTTCCTACAGTGTAAAAAAATTAAACCCCATTTCTGTGTTGAATATGATTCAATATTTAAAAATATTTATGAAGGACATAATATTTGTAATAGTAAATTTTTTCCTAGTAGTAGCAACTACATATACCTGACTCATTTCAAATCATAGAATGACGAGAGGATAATACCAAGAATTTTTATTATTTCGTTCACTGATAAACATTTCGCAACAAAGGAGACTGAGGATACATATAGAAACAGTTTTTATAATTTAGCTATTTTGGTGTCAATGCAGCAAGCCGGGCAATACAAACATCCAAAGTTTTCTTCTGCGATTCTGGAGTGATGCTTTTCCTTACTTTCTCTTCAACCCAATTTACCAAATGAGAATGTGCCAACTCCCGATCAACTTGTTGAACGGCTACTTGATAATCCAGCTTCTTCTTCACAGCGGATACAAGAGATGCTTTTCTGTTCAGGTATTCTGTTTCTAACATAAGAGCAAGATTGGATTTCTTGATATCGTGGTACATTTCTTGCAATCCACTTCTCCATTTCTCTGTTTTAATGTCTTCCACTTCTGCCTCGAGACCATCGATTTCTGACATCTTGAGACGATAAATGGCATCAAAATGTCGATCTTCGTTTGAATGCATCATTTCTTGCAACATGGGTCCAGCAACTTTCAGGAGACCATAAGTGACTGTTAATAAGGCGAATAGATGCCAAGACTCGGGACTGTAAATGTAGATTTCTTTTGACACTAGGAATGCTGTAGTACCAAAAGCAAGAGCATATGGACCGGTGACTCCAGTGCGTGGGTATAAGAATTCAAACCAATACTCTGGTATAACATAATGACGCATGTAATTCGGATCCCATGTTGGCTTCACAGGCAATGGACCCATTCCCTCATATGGAGCAAGTGGCATTTTGAAATTTTCATAATCTTCGACATAATTGTCTCGAGGTCTTGACGCAACAGTGAGGGAAGAATTCCTTATGTTATTGATGATAGTTGGTCGGAGAGCAGTGTTTATTCTTGGTATTAATCGTGACAACATGGTTGCTGTTATTTTATCTAAGCATTTACAAATGCTGATAAATAATCAACATGAACTTAAAATAAGCTGAAATTGCACAAAAACATTTTGGTAATTAATTGAAATCGAATATGCATGTGTTCATGCTTAAAAATAAGAGTCCTAATATTACTACAACACTACTACAACACTGTAATGATATGGCTAAGAATTCTTTGAGAATGTACATATCTATAAATACTAAGAACCACAAAATAGGTTATCATGAAATAAATTTGGAAGATGTTTAGAATTTATTAAAACTTTGAACGGTGTACTGCTTTATACAAATTCAATTTTAAACTCATGGAGTCATGGTAATCTTAAATTGACAAAAACATTAGAATACAACAGATTAATGTTATTTCCAAAACTTATTTTTTTGGCAAGACAAGCTATGATATCCAAATAATGGTGAGATTTTCAGTCTTGAGGACTAATAACTAATTTATATAAAAAAGCAATGAATAAGTCTACAAGTCTACTCAAAAATTTGCCATACATTCAATTTCGCTATCAAGGCAGAAGGTAGTCATGGACACTAGACATGTTGAAAATTTGAGAACTCCAAAATCCCACATATCGAGAAACCAATACACTCCGGCGTAGCATGATAATTTTTTCACGTATCAATCCTAACCCCCACCTGACTACACCATCCAAAAATTACGTCATTACAACGTCACAGTGACGTAATAGAGCCCTTCAAACTATACGAACTGCCATCCAAGACGCGCAAACGAGCACCCGAAATCGAACAGTTAGTTCTCTCGTTTTCTCGTCGCAACGATTCCAATAGGAGAGAGACCGATAACGTCAGTCAGTTCTTTATCGTCGGCGCCAATGCCATTTCGGTCGATCGTGCGTATATTTGGCAAGCTCTATCAGTCTATGACGCGATTGTGATGTCGTAGTGATTTAATTTTTGGATGGCGTAATCAGATGGGGGTTAGGATTGACATATCAAAAAATTGTTATGCTACGCCCACTAGAAGTAGGTACGTTTGGTACCGGTACGAAACTACACCAGACCCCCGTAGCCTACTACTGTGTCGGATAACGTTATATCGCATAGCCAGTTATCAAAATACAGTAGCTACACTGCAAAAAGTTAACCTATAGCCTACTTACCAAGAAGTCGAACAGAGGGTGGTTTGACCCAGCAGAAAAATTAGAACTTACAACCAACATTGGAATCGCCGACGGAGGCGATAACGCGATTAGGTCTAACTTGAACAGCGCCAAACGTGGTGACCTACACACCTTGAATAACGACTACGTCAGTAGTCGTTGCGTCAAAGGCAAGTTGGAGAAAGGACAGATGAGGTTGATTGGGTCTTACTTTTATCTTTGACTGGGGATAAAAAGGACATTATTGAATACCAAACTTATTCATTTCCGTTAAAATGTGTCCTTCGCTATCCTAAATCGTTAACTAGTTTAAGTCAGTTTTCGATTTTGACAGTGTTACATGACTTTAAACTTCCACAAATTGATCCTATTCTTTCGTTCGGGGACATACCATCACATTTTTTCAATAGGCTTTGTGGACAACTAAAAATCGAATTAGTCCAGATTGCATCTGATAGATGTTATGGCCTAACAATATACTCCCTGTTGATTGCCTTTTTGCAACCAGATTAAACAGTAGAGAGAGAGAGAGAGATTTTATTTCGTCAACCAGAAAAAAACAGTCATAACAATAAATAATGGCTACAAAAAATACTCTTTTTTCTGTATAGACTGAAAGGAGTTCGGAATACGACCATGCGGTCCTCGGAGTGAGCTCCCTCCAAGTTTACTATGTTAAGTTCACAGTAAAATATGACTATTGTAAATGGTTGAAGTTCACGAAACAAAATTTAAAAAAACAAACAAACAAACAAAAAATGGACTAAGCAATTATTAAAATGGACTAAGCAATTGTTAACACACAAAAAAACTGTCTGTATGTCAGAAAATTTAATTAAATAAAAATCAATGAATGTTGCATAGATACTACCCCCTGAACCTCACATTTGTCGAAATTTAGTAATCAACCATTTATCACTGATTTGTAAGTCGCGGTAAACATGAATTTGAAAAGAGAGCTGACCAATCAAATAAATCTGCAAATCGTGCGGGTGAAATATTTTGTTTTATGTAGTTCTGTTCACTTATTATTAGCCCTAATGCGGCCCGTGAACAATACAAAAATAATTTTGTGGCCATAGATGCCGACAACCTTGAACCACCCAGTTCAAGACCAATAGAAATTAAATTTGAACAAGGTGGTACTCAGAAGCTTTATTCCTACGCTTGACGGCGTTTTTAAATAATGTTGAACCAAGCAAGCATACTCATCTTGGATTGAATATTTCAAACGACGAAGGGATTTTTCCAACAATTACAAAGATCATCGTATTCGAACGTTCTGAAAGGACTATTAAAGAATTTTGAACTTAGCCTCGAACTAACTAAGGGTTAGATGAGACGACTAGTAAAATGCAATACGTGTGAAATAAGTGAGTAGATATACGATTCAAAACTTAAGATTCTATTCAAGTTTAATATTTACATGTTGCAACCAATTTCCATCGCAATTCATTCCCTTGAAAAAATTCATATCGGAAAACAAACTAGATTTCTAAGATATATAGAAAGGACCATGTTTTGTTCCATCAAATAATGATATTAAATTATATAAAAGCAAATATGTAGTACCTAAAAAAGCTTGATATTTGGGTATCTATCGGAAAACAAACTGAATTTCTAAGATATATAGAAAGGACCACGTTTTGTTCCATCAAATAATGATATTGAATAATATAAGAGCAAATATGTAGTACCTAAAAAAGCTTGATATTTGGGTATCTGTTAGTCCAATCTCTAACTTTGTATAACCTCTTTTATCGACGTTTTCTATTTCCATTCTCATGTCCGACTCGATTTACCAAATAAAACATATTATACTTAATCCCCAATCGGCTCATTTGCACTCAATGGATGATCGTATTTGTTCGTCATTGTTTATCTTTCAAACCTAATTTTTTTCCAATTATTGTTCTCTTCAATTTTCCAAGCTATCTTTTTTTTTGGCACAAGCATTTATTATATCAGGGGTGCACAACCTGAAGACGTCGAAGATGAAATGCGCGGCCGTGATGGTGTGTGTTTTATATGCGAAGACGTAGGCTACTCGCTTAACTTACCACCAAGCAGTTATCGACCATGATATTTTAGGAGACTGGGAAAGTTGTTCGATGTGACACGAAAGGAAATACTCGTACAATCTGTCTGTCAAAACGTCTCAGAAATGTAGATACATGATATTGACGTCAAGTATAAATCTGTCGAATACCCCCAGAAGTTTGTTTCAAAACTCGAATGAGTATACGATGGAATAGGTTCCAGCATTTTTCTTGGAGGTAACATTTTTGTAAAGTCCGGGCCGCGTAAAAAGGATACACGGGCCGTATGTTGCACCCTCTGTTTAATAATCTAAACCAAATCAATGTTTTGAGCATTGGAATATTATAAACTCCATTAGTATAGGCTACACAAAAAAATGAAATATCCTATTTCTGCAGTAACACACGATGTATAGACGCAGTACAGTACAGTAATATTGTGATTTAAATTATTTAAACTTAACTTCGACATAAACTCCGAACTGACGGATTTTCGTAATGAGTATATGGCATCGTATCCAAACTCGAATTTAATATCATATGTCGGAGTCAAGAGGTTGTTTTATTTGTCACTTCAGTATTCAAAAAGATTCAACAACTTAAAAATTTCTGAATAATTTAGAATGAATTGAATATTGAATGAATGAATTGATTTGTTGTCACCTATTCCGTCACGTTTTTGCTCAAAATAACGAACCTTATCACCCCATATCATAAATTTAGCAAGCGAATACTGAAATGGTTTATGAATCGAATGATTAGAGCAGCTTCCCTTCCAAATCGGGGAAAATTCTAGTTGTTGTGGGGGATATTACTTTGTATTTAGTGTAGTTTTATTCATACTGTTTAGTTATTCAGTAGTTATGTAATACATATTTATGAACACATTTTAAACTATACAAACTGAGAAAGGGTAATATAGGAACGGGTGCGTGACAATTAAGAGTTACAAAATAGGCCAATGGAAAAAGTATCGAAAAAGGTAGGAAACCACGCATAAAAGGGACATAGCACGTTTTAATAATATAAAACAAAGTCAAGGAAAATTTTATTGACTTTAAAATCATTGTAAACCAGCAACCAGTTTTGAATTAATTATTCATTACGCTTGTAAAACACGAAGGTTAAAAACAATCGTAAGAATCCAGATTCATGATTAGGTATGGACAACCAGCGTTGCTGCCGATATCGCCAGTTTTTTGCTATAATTGATAGGGTTTAAATCCCATATTTGTAATAATCGGCTCTATCATCATTTACTGATGTATTTCGGGGCGAAGGGCAAAAAAAGAATTCGAAAAATTCGAATTTAAAATCTATTAGCGGAACTAACATAGTATAGCATACTTCAAGATACTGCGTATCGCCGCTAGATGTCTATAGAGTAGCATGCTTGATACCTTCAGATTTGACAAAATACGGCTGTCGTATTCATAAATTTCACAGTTTTGTCAGAAAGGCAAACTACCGCCAATGGCAAATTTATACCAGGCGTTAGGCAGGAAAATTATTGAAGTTTCCTCTGTTGCTCAGGCAAAATGACAACACTTCTTATCTTGTTTATGAACCAAAACGCAAGTAACCATGGAAACCGTGCCAGGATAAATCCGCCCGGCTCTGTCAAGGTCGAAAATAATTATTAAGACTCGATCTGCAAACAGAATTGTGATGTTGGTCTATGCGCGTTATGTGTTTTTCTTCTACTATTTACATAACTGATTTTCTTATCATTTCACTTAGTAACCTCAATTTCGAGTACAACGTCACACATATATATATATTGAACTTGACCCTAAGAAGGCTTTAAAATGATCTATATTTTAGATAATAAAACTTTTTTAAAGTTTGGATCGCAGAGCGAACTCCTTCTATAAACGTGCTATAGTAACAAGATCCAAAGCTGAAATTCATAGTCGAGTCAAGGTCGCGTATGATCTTCATCCGTTGCAATTTTTCACTGTTCCTCCGTTTGAATTAACAATCTACTTTTTAAAATGGCATAGTGGAACAAAATTGGGATCTGTAATGCAACGATTTATTGTCTGAAGAAATTGAAACTTGAATTAAAATTTATTATGGCATAAGAGTATGCGACTTATTTTTGAAATTGCTGTTTATCGGAAACCGCTTTATTCAAATTTCAGTTGCTGATTGACTGACAGGCAACGAACGGATTTCGATGGTACGAGTCAAATTTCAATAAAAATCACTAATATACGAAGCTAATTTAGCAGGAATGTTGCTGTTAAAAAATAAATAAGAAGTTTAAGGTAATACCATTGATATCAAAATTTTTTGTGAAAGTCGAATTTCTTATTTTTCAGAATATTGACACGGCGCTTCGTCCAACGCCCAACTTTTTATCAGGCAACCTTCATAAAATACAATGATTTATCGACGCTTGTAATCATATGTTACAAGGTAAACAGAACGTTACAGTTTTAATAGTTTGCTGTCAAAGGATGAAAGGCTTCGATTTCATTATCTTTTTTACTTTCGGCTGACAGACGTTTGAATAATTTCACTCACCCATGGAAAGAAAAGTCGAAGTATCGCAGCTTAAATGATAACAAATTCTCCGGAGAATTGCTCTTACTCTCGAAGTGAAAATTGAAGTTTATGTTCGGCTGTCACATAGGCAACGAGACAAGCTGCGGGTTGGTGTTGAATTACGAACGCGGTCAGGGTAATGGACCGATAGTCGTCGATTTCGCCGAGCGCTTCGCAGTCCACGCCGTTTAAGGCGAGGATATATTTCGTTGTTGTAATTGCGTCCATCTTTGGCGTCGACATTAATCGATAACTTCAACAGGTACAAAGTCATGTTGAGACCCTGCATTATTCTTTAATTTACGAAAACAGTTGGTAGTTCACGATCCTATTTTTATCCTAATGCCTATAGTCATCAATCTCTATAACTAACCAGATAGAAAAATGTCAACAAAGTATAAAGTAGGCTGAAGTTTAATCTGAAAGCATTTTAGTGATTCTCAAAAACGGACTGCCATTTTCCCATTAAGGCTTGCTGAATTAAGAAAAATCGAAATCACCTTTCCGTAGAAAATTGTCGGTGATAATATGTTATCGATATTCAATAAAAAAGTTGTAAAAATGTTCAAAGGAAGTTGAATTTTCACGGCTGTCAGAATGTGTTATTGAACGAAATTGAGAGTGACGTTACAGACAGTTTAATGACAGAAGAAGGCCGTTGACACTTGTCGTATTTAATTGATTTGAAACCGAAGGGCCCGAACAAACATGTTGATTAGTTATTTGTATAATATTGGCCAATTCAGGACATTTTTTCGAAATTTTGAATATAAACTAATATTATTATTGCTTAATGTATTAATTTTCAAATAATTTCTGATTAGCGTGTTCCGATATAAAATAATTTTGTTGACAATAAAAGGTTTGTATCGGTAGAGGCGAAGCAATTTTGTACCCTTCCTCATATGTCCGCACTTAGCACCTACTCGTATTGACAAAACGTAGCTCGCGCTAAAATTGTATTTTTCCCTATCAGCCCGCTAAATCGTTCAAAATATCGAACGGTTTTTTGAGTGTGGGATTTTCTAATCATCACTCTGGGCTTATCTGGCGAGAGCGTTTCTGTCGAGAGACAAAAGAAGATGGATTAGGGTGAAGTGAGCTTACAGTTCGTATGTCAATCAATCATAGTAGGTCGGATAGGAGAGTGAGAGAGCGGGAAAGAAGCGAGAAGAAAGTGGTAACGCTAAAACGGTTATGATAAGTTAATTGCGTAAAGCATTGCGAGCTTGGGTGAGCGGCGGGTCAGGCTTTCATCTTTTCATTTAGAATCATTGTTGTAGCGCTCTGGGGTAGCGGGTATCTGTTTGCTCGCTCCGTCGTGTATGAAACGAGAGTTTCCTCCTATACCTCTTACTCTGACCTTTCGGGTTGTGGTGAGAGGCGTAATCGATGATGTATAGATGTGTTGAAATGTTCATCTTTCATCGGGGATAGCTTCATTTTTTCTTTCGCGTTCAAATTCTTTTGTACTATTCAGCGCTGGTGGTAGTTAGTAAGCAATTAGGTTTTCTGCGACGAAAAACATACAAAGCATCAGGAAAGTAATATTGCAATAATATTTTTGTCTCAGCCGGTTAGAAAATAAGTTGAATGCCTTTGGCTGTTTGGAGCTATTTTGTGGTAGGAAATATCAGTATCTTCTGAGATTTGTGTTGGTATGAAGAATGAAATAGGCGTATGCGTGGATAACAATTAAACACAGTTGAACAGTGCAAAACGTGTGGATCAGTTATATGAAATATTTGCGAAAGACACGGCGTGTGATGATCAACGAGTTTAACTAAACAGCAATAGCGTAAAAGAGTTCTGTAGAAGTTGTACCCTAAAGCGCGCATTAGATTAAACCAAAGAATATACTTAGAAAGTACTGAATTCCATTCAAATAATAATAATCATACGTGGAATAAGTGCACACGCAAAGTGAAAAAAAATGATTGAAAGTAGTGAATATAAGAGAGCAATATTCACTTAGTTTCTTTGATAGTTCATTTTGGAATTTATTTTATCAAAATTATTTATTTTCATAGTTAGCAAATATAAGAAAAATATTATAAGACATCGACAATGGACGGCGTGTTAGCGGGAAGAACGCATCAGTATCTCCGCACGGAGTACATACAGCCCCCACCAGGACCTCCCTCGGTAAGTACAATTTACGCCCATTGATATTTATTTGGCTGTTGATCACAGAGGTGATTTGGAATATTTTCCACATATTGCGTAATATCACTATTCGTGTCAAACTGTAATCAACACTTCGCCAAAAGATTTCGACTTTTAAATACTGTATCACGAACTACGGATCATCGTAAATTAATGTGATATGTTTAATCGCAAAATTTGTCATTATCACATTTAAACTATCTTTTACATGTTTTTCAAACACATACGTGCATATGTTTCTATGATCCAAATTATGTTATGTCTGTATGTGTGTATTATAAATAATACTTGCATATCAGCTACACAAAATCGACCGTTGCTTTCCCATTTGTTTGCCGTAGAATTGACATCAATGTGCGAGAAATTTTATGAAACAATTTTTCAAATGGTCGATTAATTGGCTACAATTGAACAAGCTTATGACGACTACTACCGAGAGAAATTGCATATTAAATACAGAATACTGTTTTTACGAGTTGTACATATAGATTTGCGTATATTGGCTACGAAGTTCTGTTACACAAAGGCAACTATGGTTTTCTTGTTGAAAAAGCGACCACTCTTCTCTTAACGCGATTCATGTAATTGGTGTGTGAATTAGTTTTTCTCAATCATCATCTCAAGCTATTCTATGCAAAGTAGTAAATCATATTTTAAATAAGATGAATGACAACCGATATAATTATATTTGGACGATCCTTTAATTTCGCAGTTGATTGATACGTCCGACCGTCGATTGACCCGAGTTCTCGCGCGGTTGAAAAGTTCACAACGCTCGCTGTAGATCTATCGGGAATTCAAGAGGCATACATCATTGGAAAGAAAACACTTGATTACTCATCCGCCGTATCGGTGGTTCATTCAATAGCGGCAAACAACTTTTTAGAATTATTTGCCACAAACGATACCCTAGTTTTTTCATTCGGCCTGATTCACGTCAATGGTGAATATAATTCTATTATTCTGTATATTTCGCTTGAATCAAACACATACTACCAAGATATTTTGATAAATGAAATTTTATATTTTATTGCTATGACAATAAGTTTAATAGATACGCCAGGTGTTAGAATGAACGTGTTATGCCAAGCCGACGATACTTTAAGTTTAGATGAGCATTAAAATTGACCATTCACACAAAACGTGACATAAGGCAAATAAATACTTATTATTTTAATTAGGCTGTGAATCCCAAGCCTATGCAGATGTGTTACATTACTGAATTAAAAAAAAAAGCTCAGTGATTTGTGATGTATGGTTATATCGTTTGAATGATCCAGAAGCCGAAATGACGTGAATAACAAATATCCACGATCTTATTCCTAGGCTTTTTTTTTTATCTGTACCCAACATGCTACCAATGAATATTGATTCTGGTTATTGAACGTCCAACCGCTTAAAATTATAATATAGTGACAACGCTTAAAGCTACAATGAAAGGGGTGACAAAATGCTATAAGCAAGGGCTGTATGATCTTCACAATTCCGAATAGTCCAAGCGTCAACTGAAATGTCCAATAACTGAATGAAAATGGAATTGCTATAAATAGTTATAAAATATTTGTCATATTTGTACCAGTGAATTTAATCTTACACAGAGGTAGATAGATAGATATCTGATAAACTTATTCTAAGTAGCTTGGTATAAACCCAGGTATAAACAATAAATCTTTTTCATGACAAAATACAGCCAAGTCGCCCATTAAAACGTAGCCCATACAGAACATCGCGTAAAACAAAATATTTTAAATTATGACACATGATTGGTGACTGCCCTTTATCTATGCTTATTCACGACGGATTAGAAAGCAGATTTTGACATGCACATGTTCATAAATCATTCTGTCGCCACGATATCGATATATGATCCGAATGCACCTGTGTTGCTAAACTTATCTGAAAATCTGCATAATGTTTTGTTCCACGAGGCGTCAAATTTCCTCGAATAATTGTCTCGTTTGCAATGCGCAATATCGCGCCCACCGAATCGCTGTTATTTTATAATTTTCACTATACAATAACTATACTGGATAACCACCGATAAAGATAGGGTAAACTTTCTAAGTACCTTTCATGTATGATATGGACATGGTTGTTGGTTTTATACATTGTGACTACTCACGTAAATTGATTAAACAATATATATGTATGTAATAATCGTGGTTAGACGTTCAAGTTGGTCGCTGGGCGCATTTTTGCTGAAAATATTCCACCATCAATCAAACTCGCAACAGTATTTGCAATCACCATTAATATTCATCATTACCTGCGTTTGTCGAAAGATTCAAATTAAATAATGAGAATTTTTTTCGCGCAACACAGTTTTTGCGTCTGTATATGAACGCGGGATGACCTCCGACCGTGGCATCAAGCGATCCTCGAATTCCTTGAAAAAGGGTTAGTGTGTAGTGTTTCCAAGCAAATTTAGAAACTAGTTAACTACTTCCCATGTTAAATGATCTCGTAGATCAATTCCCCGTACAAGACATTGCATTTTTCTGATATGAATTGAAGATGTACCTAATGCGTAAATAAGGGTGGCTAGTTGCCACAGTGGCTATTGTATATTCTATGGTCAGCAAGTCAGCTTCTCTTATTTTAGGATGGGCGTGATTAAATTTATATAGGCTATAAATAATTTTTGACACGAGTTATTTATAGTAGCTGTTGTTACAATAATAATATTAAGTTTATTTGTTTTGACCTATTCTATTTGTTTTTCAGCTTGATGCCAAGAAAAGTCCCCTCGCTCTACTTGCGCAAACCTGCAGTGCTATTGGCAAGGAAGGGCCTAACAAAAGCCTATCAAACGAAAAGAGTTCTGCAAGCTTGGATAATTCGCAAGTTCCACTGAAATCGCCATCTTCTAACACTGGAAAGAGTGCGACACCATACAGCAAAACATCAAAGAATCGTTCATCGGCATACGAGCCGGAAAACACACACTGTGCGGTGCCAACACGGAAATTGTCCGCCCCGGTTTTTTCGAAAAGTTCTCTTACTGGTCTCCCCGAACCGCGACGCACTTCACCGAACATTTTGAGCGAAGAAACCCCTACACGGAGGACTTTAGCAAGTACGCCAATGGGCGTGTCAGATGGATCGTCTCCTGAGTTATCCGATGCGAAGCCGAACAAAGAAAAACCGTCATTTAATAGCCGGTATTCTCCCACGACTTTGAACTCAGGTGACAGCATAAAATCGCATGAACGTTCGTCCTCGTCCACTGGCCCGACACACACAAAATTGCGAGTTTGTTCGGGCGATAATGAAGTTCGACGAGGATCTTCCGCAGGCAATCTCAACACAAGTCCAATTCCAAACTCCCATAGTCACAAAAAATGTGGTTGTACAACAACACATCCTTACTCATGCGGCGGTCACTCTGATGCTTCTCTCGATGTTAACAAATCATTCAAACATAGTGGTATTTATCCGTACCTCCCAGCAGGTTGTGACAAATTTTGTGTTGGGTGTCAATATAATCATCTTCCTGGGGCCTGCGATATCGCCAGAATAAAAGAAACAGATCCATACTATTCATTGTATCCATTAGACAGCATGCAGTCTCTCGGATTGCAAACAGCTTTCTCATCCCCTTACAATCGATTGCAATCCCAACTTCTAGCAGCCGCAATGGCATCTAGAAATGAATATTTATCAACTGCTGAATCAAATCCTCCCGTTCACGTTTGCAAATGGGTAACCGCAACAGAAGGACATTGTGGAAAAACTTTTCACACTCGTGAAGGACTCGTTGAGCATTTAAGTACTCATGCACTTCCCACCTCATCGGGAGTGAATAATTTTGCAATGCCAAATTTTCCTTCCAACAACATATCCACGTACTTTAACGGATCAGCTTTTTCGATGGCTGGTTCCAATCCACCCGGTTTCAATCTACCCAATAATTTAACACACGTTGCTCTAGCTAATGAACGCCTATTACAATCTAGTCGAAGGCGCTGTAATTCGCTACATAGGTATAACCCGTACAAAAATCCTTTTTCCAATTCATTAAATCCGTATGTTCCTGTATTTCCTCCAAGCGTAACTGGTTCTCCAGCTTTATACAGTTCACCATATGCATATTGCGGGCAGCCGGTTGGTGCTGCTACAGGAGGATACATATTTCCATAAATATAATGAAAAAATAGAACGAGAAATCACAATTTTATAGCGCTCTATCATGCCTGATCATTAAGGCAGGATATTCATTATCTTCCAATAGTTTCTAGGCCAAAGTTGTCAATCCGGATCATTTTGAGGTAGAATATGACACCAACTTCTTATTTTTTCAACATTTCTTTATTTTTTCATTTTATTTCGAGACTTATTCAGTTCCACTGCTTTAAAAACGAACGTGTGCTTTATTATTTTATTTTAGTTGTTTTGTTTTAAACTCACAACCTGGCGTTCTGAGTTTTAATTGGGTGATATTTATTCTTGAGCAAAAGGATTTTCAATGAACGCATTATTAGCAAAAATTGATTTTGGTATAAATTTGGTGAATAAACTGAGACAATGGTGGAGATATTTGCTAATAATTTGTTCATTGGCGGAAAGGTTTACTATTATTTTTTTTCGTCAAAATACTTTAAAATTGAAAGAAAATTAAAATTATTGTTATACTAATGAATACTTAAAGCAGTATCGAATGGTCTATGCTTATATAGTTGATTTTAAATGACTGCAAGGGAGCGACAGTTTATCAAAATATCAACGAATGTGACGGACCTAAAATGTGTAAAAGATCAGGAACTTTTTTCAACTCTTTCTGCCCTACAAAATATATATGGAACCCGCCGAACTCAACACTCTTGGAAATAAATTTCTATAGTTTTGTGCCAATCCGAAACCAATTCGTTTGAAGTCGTTGAGCAACGCAGTGGGGTGATTAATATTTTGCGAAGCTGCATGATAATTAAAAAAATTTGGACAGTAGATCAGGAGCTCCCACGATGATCAATACTAACGAGTAGATTAGAGAGAATGAAATTTCTATGTTGCCGAACAAAAAGGCGCCCTTGATCAAATACCCAGTACATTTTCAACAATTCGTCATTGAACGAAGAGAAACAAATCACAAATGGCTGTAGTAGTACATTAGCACAGTTACAACCAGTGGCCTAGAGATTACTGTGTTGACAACGTCGTGTTTTATGATTAACGTGACGCAATACAAATATAACAGACGGAATTCGCTCACTTCAAAGCATTGCGTGGATTCGTTTTAATTCAATCCAAACAAGTGAAACCACCGGGCATAATTTATTTCACAGTGGCTTGAAGATTACTTCGTTGAGACGCATGTGACCAAGAGATAAATTTGTCATATAGCCCGCTGAGTGGAGCCCAAACCATCAGCCTCATTTCTTTTGAAATTTGTTGCGGGGAATTCGTAACCTGATATATATAGGACTTTTTGAAATTCCGATTATATTTGAAAAATTCCAAATTTATGTAATACACCGATTTCCAAACATAACGTACGTACATAAAACGTAATTTGATCAGTTTTGGCAAGGCTATTTTATTCCTAAACTCCAAACACAAATACGTTCCCAGGCAGCGAAAATTTTCTCCGACTGAATATTTTCTGACGTTTCTTTTTATTTCGGAATATTCCTATCCAAATACGAGTGCCATATTAACATATGTTCAGTTAAATTCTTGGTATCATGAAGAAAGACATGAGTCATCATCAGTATGTGAAGTTTTAACAAGAAGATCATACGAAGTAATCAGATAAAATATGACAGCTGTCATAAATCATTGTTAACTGTGATTGGCAACAACAAAAACATGTCATTTAAAGATAAAAAAAAAAGAACTCACACAATGCAAATTCAACACAAAGTATTATACATTTAAAATTACATTTATTTGGTCATGTTAATTTATACATGGAATTTAATTTGTATAAAATATTCCATCCGAATCTGGCCTTGATTTTAAAGCTCTGAGGGTTTATATAACGTCGCATCGAAAGTTTGCTATGTACGAAGCAGACTATAAACATACTTATTGCTTAGCTTCTGTGACATCGTTGCGATGTTTAACATGACATTTGCAAACTTTTTCAAGATATTTAGAAAAATTACCCCACATTAATATGATTAATGTACTGACAAAAATAGTGTGAAAATATATATCGTGAATCGAAGAAGTGGTAGAATAATTGAAATGACAATTTGTCCCGATTAGTCGATTACAGTCGTTTCGCGAGCTACTCTTCAATAATTAGCCACTGTTTAGTCATTCCCTTATTAATTTGCACTACTATTTGCTGACCAATTCATATTACACAAACATCAAATTTAAACTCGCGAAATTTTCAAAATATGGACTAAAAATTTAATTAAGCAAATAAGACGTAGGAGAAATGTATTTCATCTATACAAGAAGAAAACATGCGGACAGTGCGGATGCACTTTTGATTACAAAAATAGTTTATCTCGGTTTTCTTCATGCTATAAATTATACCACAGTTTATCTGATGTTTTTGATAACCAAACATTCATCAAAACGGAACATAAATTCCAACCGGAAGGTCTGAAAGTTATTACAAAAGGCTCATTGTTTTCATCGTAGCATCGGAGACGGTGAAATGAAATATACGGATCATATAAAAGTGGAAGTAAGACAAAATGGCGGTTTGATGAATTTCGAAATAGAAATGAGCGTGAAGCTTGCATAGAAAATACGGAATCAGAGAAAAATAGATTGAACAGCAGTGTGAACGAGACGAATGTAAATACGTGGTTACAAATTTTATACATGGAATATGGTTCATGAACTAAACCGGACCTTTCCAGAGCATTTGCGAATGATGGGTCGTATTTCAGTGACCCCATACTCGTGGAACATACTAAGACAAATCTGTTTCAGGTTCATTTTTGAGTAGATGAATAGCGTTCGCCAAGCATGGTATTGAATAATATAATAAATGAATCAGACTTGTCATCCCTCTTATAAAAAGAAAATTTCTTCCTGACTAAGAATGATTTAAAAATATTCATTTTGTTTGTGATTTCTGGGGGAATCGAATTTTAGGGTATAAAAATGATTTCGATTTGCTCAAATTTTATATTCAGAAAAAAATATGTCGAACACTCGCAAATACGCAAGTAAGTCGCAAGTAAAGATTCTCTTTCTCGCATTTACACAATTTTAAATCATTTTGAGATGGAAATAAACAGATTTTACTGACGTATCAAGGAATGTTCTGGAGTTCTCTGAATTTTCATTGAACCCAAGTTATGATTTTATAGTATTTATTAATGATATTATTGATACATTACATTTAAAATTGTTAACCAGTGCCCGCGGTCGCTGTTGACCTTTTGTGTTTTGACAAAAGCAGGTTGTAGTTTGTATGAGTCCTGACGATTGCTGGGTCGTTTGGTGACAGAACCAACACGCTGTCCACACAACGATGATGATTGACGACCCAAACATTTTTGTTGTTTCTAAAATGTGATAACCAACATACCGATTCGTCTTTACAATTGCCTCTTGATTTGCTTGACCCAGCGCTCAACTCATCATTCGTTCGTTTGATAAATAGGAAATACTACTTGCCAATGATGACGCCGTGGTCATCCATCTCTCTCGCCTGACAATCTCAAGCACACCCGATCGACGCACGTACTATTGAAAATAATCCAAAATTTCAAATACGTTGTATGGTAAATAAGGTAATTTTCAACCCTATTTATATTTTACTGTTTTATTTATTCAACAACGTATAAATCGAGATGGAATAACCATCCAAATATACGGATTAGCTTAGCTGAAGAACATAGATATAAAAAAAGTTTTCCATGAATGCGCAGCGTACTTACCAAGAAATTTTGCTAAATTTTCCGAATAGAAAAACACCCCTTGCGTTCAATATGTGGGGTTTCTTTCAATTACCATTCGATCACGGGTGGTTTAGCATGTTGAATTTCAAATTTCATGTACGGCAATGTTGTTTGTTTATCCATTGATGTGATAAAATATACTACTCCTGTTGATGAGCTTTTTTTGTCAGCCGGACATATGCTATTTGACAATTACAAGACTAATAAAAGCAGACGTAGTATAAATGTACGCTGACAAGTGGTGTTACAAAAATGTATTAAATTACGAGACATTTTAAAGTAAATAACCTTGTCTCTGTGCTTAAAGCGTATTTGCGCTAGGGCCCTCAAGCATAGATTTTTAAGACACAGTTACATCGGGTAAATTAAGTCATATTTGTATATAACTATATATATTTGTATATAATACTGAAAGTGACTTTACCGATTCAGGTCGCAATGACTTCCATGCCTCTAGCCTGTGAAATGATTTAAGAAATAATTCGGAATTGACTGAAACGGCTATTTTCGGCACTAAATACGAAAGTTCGGTACATGATATACATACAAGTACCTTATTCGTTTATCTTTTGTGATTGTTTGAAGTTATCAGGGCATATTATGCTTTTCGGTACATTTATGGTAAAAATTAGAATATATATGACTAGAGTAAGATTAACATTGGAGATCAAAATCAGCTTGCAATCGTCAAGATGCTAATGAGAACAACTTCGAAGAACGCAGCTTATCGCTCGAAAACAGTGGTAGTGGGAGCAAATAAATAATAAAATCCATATTTTGGTATATATCTGCTTACCTTTAGCTTCTCATGCTTAAAGCGATGTCCACAAAGCAAACATTTCACAACCAATAAGCAGAAGTAGTGTGTCTCTAAGCACGAATGCCGGACAGTTTTTGTATTCTATTTTATGTTTTGTTATTGAAATACAAAAGCAAAAATGCGCTTGAAATAGTTACGGTCACAACACTTTCTACGCGCTAACTATCGGCGAGATAGTTCAATTAAGTGTTTATTTCTATTTGGTTGATTTATAATTAATTGTTAATTGCTTCTCCTAATGACTGACCCGTGTGTTTATATGAGACTGACACATGTTCGGTAAACAATTTACCATTTGATGCAATCATTGTTTGCAGCAATGGTTGTTGTTTACTACGTGGATATTACGAAGCTTATTCTCAGCGTTGCCTACTCAAGAAAAATATAAGGATGTTTTGCAGAGGTAATATTTTATGGCATTTTTAAGCCACTAAGATTATATCTCGATTACGGCCTCATTGACAAATGTCCACGGGCCATCGCTCCGACCGAGCAAACACATAGTGGTGCAGAACCCTCCCATGTTTGGAATAATCATATCCTATTCCTCATTACACGAGCAACTAACTTAATAATACAGTTTTGCGTGATTTAGTTTTTAATAAAAAAACAATGACCATCACCTTCATTAGAATTGGGAATAAAAACACGAGATAAGGAAATTCGTTCCGAAATTGACAGCAATTAACGGAGTTGTAAAACGTACTTTTTAAAAATGTACAATATTTTAATGTATATGAAATAAGTTTCAATGAAAAACGTTGAGATTTTAAAAGCAAAAATGATGTAAAGCTATATATCTAACATTATGTACATGTCATGTATTTTAATTTTTAGTAAATTGTGTTTTGACAGTAAATTGTGATATAGTTCGGCTTCATTTATCCGCTATTATTTTTCTGATTGTGATGAAGTGCTTCGGCAATAGGTAAGGTTAGGTAAGTCGACGTAATTTTATAAAGCTTTTGTAGAGTTTTGCCAAGTTTCCCTGTTGGATTTTTACGACTGGCCATGCCAGAACATCAGCTTCATGAGAGACCATGAAATATTCTTTCACTTTATTCCCACAAAGTGTTTCAGGAGTTAGTTTGATCTCGTTTTGATATTGCAAATGACCAATGGAATCATACAACACACCACATCATACAGAGCAACAACTTACATGGAAAAACAAAAAAAATGTAGAAAGTGTTATAACCTACAGTCGTTGTATTATATGTGGTTTTACTGGGTCGTGAAAGGTTTGATTTTTGAAGATGAATCAAATACTAATTTAACAAGCATAATAAACATTGTCACGTAATTTTTTTATGACATTTTGACAAAAAATAACGTTCGTTTTAAATTGACACACACGTGTTATAAAACGCCGCCGATTTATTTGATTGAAGGAAACGAGCGATAGTACAAGTAAAAGAACTAAACTACAAAGCGTTTTTGCCATTTCGGATCTCATAACGATCTAGCGCTATAAAGATTAAACGTTTTTTATGGGCCATGCATGACACAAGAAAATTTTCCGCAACCGACGATAAAAACTGGAAGTTTAGAATTTATAAGTCGCCGACAAAATTTTATAACATCGTATTAGGTCAGATGTATTTGCCATGTATGACTACGAATAAAATAGTCGCGGTCCACGCCTGATCGAAGTTATTTAACAAATAAATTCGAAGGTTGTTATGGAACGCGAGATGGAGGCAAAGTCAACACCATAAACATCATTCCATCATAAACCATATCAACGACAGTTTTACGCGCAGCAAAACTTCTGATGTGGAATCAGGTTACCGTCGTCGTTAAAGCGATATAAAATTTTAAATTGCTTTTGATGAAAATAAATATAGATTAAAGAATTTAGTTATTTTCCGATAAAACAGATTCTGGAAATTTTAAAACCGGTATTTCTGATATGTGTCATTAAAACGACGATGACGCCAATCTGTTCCTATAATGTTAAAATCGATTTAACCAGGTCGTCTACGTAAATAATGCGGAATATCTAACATAAACTTGCATATTTTTATATATTGTGTTCATACACGCACTTGCTGAAATCTGTATTAACCTGATGTAACCTCTAGAATTGGTTTAGCCAACTTCTTTCAGATTAAACATCAACAATTTATTTCGATGAATATGCTATAGTAAAATGAAGTTAATTCACCACACACGTTTTCGATTCAATGAATTTCTTCCGTCGGAATGCCTGGTTTATTTTCATTATCAGTCCACTTCCGACCGAAGTTTTGAGAAAATACACTTCATGTGGCAGTCCATAACAGTAGAGTAATAAGTGCCGCAATTGTCAACAGTTGCTAGGCATATTTCAATTTTGTTCGAAGCCAGATCCATTTTCTATTAGTTCGAAATCATTTTGATCATAGATTGAACATATCTAGGCAACTCAATGCATATACAACCCAAACATGACAGTATATAAATAAAAGTATCTCCCATTTATCATCTATGCACTTAGTGACTGGTGAGGGAAATTGTCAACGATCGTTTAAAAATACCTGAAGGACATGGATTGAAATCGTCTTTAATGCGTTTAGTGTTGACTACGATTTTCGTCGCGCACTTACTGTTTCCTGTGAAAGATAATGCTATTTAAAATTAATAAAATTAGTTCGTTTTAAATGAATAAATAGCTGTCAAAAACGTCTGCATTTTAGCAAGAATAAATCGTTTTTTGAATGACAAGGCTTGAATGTATAAAAAAAGGGAGTTTAACTATTTTCCTCCCATTAGTCGTTAGTTTATTGAAAATTATATATTTTAGAATTAAGGAAGTTAAAATTTCAAAACCGCTGCATGCAATTTCCTGCAACAAATCTGTATTATCAGACTCAATCTACAAAACTGTGAACTATAAGAATATTATCAGAATATCAAAATGGTGGACGATCAGCAATTTTGACATATACCAGGCATGTAAATTACTTTTTGCAGATGTGAGATATGAAAAACGTTCAGATCTTATTACTCAAAATTACTCTTTCACATTAAACCTTCACACCTGTGGTGCGGAGTGAGGATTGTAAATAAGTTGCCGTCGTTTTCTTCAACTGGTCCGTTCATTAAAATGAACGAAGCCTAAAATCAAATAAAGAATTCAATCTTAACGAGTGATATCCAGTCGGATCAAAGGTGTCAGTCATTTTGAATTCGCTTTAAATGCCTCTCGTTTCATCGGTCTCGATGCCACACGCCTCGCCTTTGATCTCAAGACGGCGAAAAATGCCGTCAGTCATCGGCTCGCGAATGAATAGTTGACGAAACGGGCTGTGTGTGTCGGGAAAACAAAGTGATTTTGCTTGAAAAGAGGAAAAATACGAACGTGCTAATTCGTTACGGTGCTTGAATGAAAGTTAGAAGCTCTACGAGGTGGGCATTGCCGTCGCGGTTGCTGCGTTTTGTCAAATAGTTGACGGGAGTGAAACGAGCGAACGGCGAATTTAAATAAATCTCCTTTTAGCGCCTTTGATCCGTCCGCGTTGAATTGAAAAGGCACATCGATAAATCAATAGTTTTTCATGTCTTAAGAGAAATCGGCGCAATGTCGGATTGCGGCAAATTTTGATGGATATGTTGGTCTAACTACATCTCATATCTAGAAAATGCGCCACTGGCCTACTTATACTGCTTTCGCCGAATGAGATCCGCTTGCATGAATAATAAACGAGCCAATTATAGAGTTGTCAGAAGATGGTTCATCTCTGCCCGCAAAGAAATTTATCTTAATTCCGATATACTCGTACCAGATTAAACATGATACAACCTCCAGATGAACAGTTCTAGCGTGGAATTTTTTTCGAATTTTTATTCGGGTTACGGTTATGCTTGTGTGCGATGTCGAAATATCCCAATTAACTGAATGTTATTTTGAATATGTAGTTCCATCAGGTGCTTTTTGACGCCATTCATAGGCGACCCACAGTTGGTCGAAATGCGAGCAGATGATCAATTTTCGACAGACAAGGTTCATATCTCGTGGTATTCTTTTGCCGCCGCCTCATTTAGCACCTTGCCATCAAACACACTCGGCTGTCAAGATCATGTCGATAACAAATAACAAGAGATATTTTCTCCACACGTCACCTGCGCCATATTTACCGGCGTAATCTGTCACTCCAAAACAAATAAGGTACCTACAGAGAAGGATTATCGCATTTAGAAATTATCTGTGATTTCAACTTTTTTCTAATATCGGACAAAATAATTCATGTTGACACAACGCAAATGCTGTTTTTAATTCGTTTAATTTCAACACCACAATTCCATATTTTTCTTGAAACGTTTAACTTTGAACAACATTTGCTCGTTTTTGTTCTATAAAGAGAAATGGAAGTTTATTATTACCTTTAACCGCTAATGGGAAATGCTGTTTATTTTCACAGGCCTTGTAAGAGTGTTCGTACTTAAAAGGAAGCCTCAAGATATCCTGTTCTGTCAGCAGTAATATGAATTCCTTAACCCTGTTGTCGGACTTAAGTATAAATGTGTTGTTTTGCATTGCAATTCAAAATTTTCTAATCCAAGTGTTAATGTACCAAGCATCTCGTCGATTAAAAATAGCTCTCCCGAAAAGATTACTAAATTTTGCGAAACACGATAATAGAGATTTGCATAAACACATCAACAAACCTCGGGTAAAGAGAAAAAGAAAGCGTTAGACAAGTTCATCCATTTTGATCGACTGGTCGTGATTTCGTGACACATTGCATGGATGTGAAAACCGCTACAAGTTTTTTTGACAACATTTATAATAATGACAAAAAGTTAATGATATTTACCACAAAATTAACTGGCTCATGAGTGTTGATAGATTATTATGAGTGAGCTGTAGTAATGTTACACGAATTTAAGTCGTCGTCGATTCAACAATTGTAGCATCTTATCTAAGGTAAGTTGTCTATACCCCTAGTTGTCCCTAGATAGATTAGTGTCCAGGTATTGTCAGTACATATAAACAAAACTTATTATAATGGAGTTGCTTGAAAATACAACAATCATGCACTTATCATGCTCAACAATTCTAAGGATTCTCGCCACTACAGCCAGGTACGAGTAAACTTCGATCCAATGCCTGTAACCGAGCGTTGTTCCTAATGTAGGGGCCGTTTTCAATCTTTCCGATTCATTTTGGAAATGTGAGAAGTAGTTATTTGGCTTTTGTGTCGGTATCTTTTGTATCTGACTCATTTGAACCATCTAGCGGATGAATAATAACGTGTGATTGAAGTTGTCATTCCAAATTCAATCAATGCTATCAAAAACGACAAGATCCGACTACACAGCCCATGTCTTAGATTTTCGACAAAGAACTTGTGGTTGAATATTTAACTTTTTATGTTACTGATTTCAAATCAAAGGCACCACAGGGCGGCGTTAAATCAAACTTCGCGATTCTGTGGTTATCAGTGATTCTCAACTGTATTCCAACATTATACCTCAATTGCAAAATACAAGGCAATAATGGCCTGCTCACCTATTTTGCGAGTTTTACCTCCTACTGATGCGCAAACTTAGTCAGAGGTCCTACGCCAACTTCAAGTCCTTAACGGCTGAATGATTCGTTGAGTCTTTGAAGTATAAACAGGGAACATCATAACGAAGGAGTCCGGGAGCACATAGTACTTCCCTTGTTAAATTTTAAACTGATTAAGAAGCTCGCACGTTCCGTAATTTGACAGTATAATTTAGAGAAACATTTGTATTGTTAAGTATTTTGTATATTAGGGTATTAATTTGTACGATCTTAACGCTGTTGAGAAAGAATCGATGATTGATCATTCCTGCAATAACACGCTGATGTCGAAACACATAACCTTGCCATTGTCACAGCCAGATATTGCTCGAAAAAGAATATATCCGGAGCTCAGTGACAAAATCATTAAATTATCGCTGATTTTCTGTACAACTTACTTATATGGGACAAGCTTTTCATCAAGACCAAAAGGAAAAATAGTGTGGAAATCAACGCTATACTTTGCCTTGCAGAAACTTCATTAGAACGGCGTTAAACAGGTATGATACAAACAAGACAACAGCAAATTTTTCAGTAAATAAATTCCATGTTTTGGAATACAGAAGGGATAGCAGTACAACTAAAATATTGTATTTTTTTGTAAATATTCAGCAAGTCTAGTATATTTCTAAGAGATAAATATCTACGCGCATAATAAAGTGGCCCGACATATAGCAGGGTCAATTAAAAACTAGTTGGCTCCAATAGTGCTTCCACAATGTTATAATTGTGTGCCCTCACTTCGTTCTTAATATTACGGTAAGAGTAAGGGGGACTTGGTTATTCTTTGTCAAATGAAACACGAAGCTAGTCTGTCGCACAAGGTTTTTCAAGGTTGGGATGTTGCTGTACTGTATATAAAGAGAGTTATCTGACAGTTACTTAATAAATACCCGAAATATAAATATCAAACCTTCTTAAACTCCAGAAGAAATAATATGAAACGACATTTGAAAATCACCGTGTGACTTTCCACTCAGCTTGCCTAGATTAACTATTCGAACGGGAGACAGCACATTTGCACCCACGTACATTTGCACCTACGACAATTGAACTCGCATACTTTTTCACTCACCGACATTTGGTTGACTACCCTAAGTTTTAGCGTATAGGTTTCATCCGCGGACATTTGCACCCACGGATATGTGCGTATATTAACATCCTTTTTTGCCTCTTTTACCCCTTTATCGATCAAGATTGCAATGCAGCATTTCGACCATTCCGATCTTATAAGCTAGATTTTTTTTTCAAGTGCGATCTCGAAACCGATATTACCAAAGAACAACTCATGAATATACAGAAAGGCTTGAACAGGAGGCTGCATGAGTTTACTTTCAGGATAATAAAAATAATCACATGTATGGTGACGACTTCCCTTGTTTTTTGGCAACCAGATCTTCAATATCTGGTGGAATAGCAGACAATGCGTAAAGCATGTCAGATTCGACATCGAGCCGGTTTCGTGCTTTAGATAGGACAGTAAGCAAGGTAGAAAATCTACACTCACACAGGTAAGTTGCATAAGAGGGAACAAGAATCATCAGGACATTCATATCCGGTCTTGGGAAGAATGTATTCCTCTGAGGGCCAACGTACTTACTTGATATAAAAAGTTTAGTATGATTGGCATTTATATTTTTACAAAGCTTGTGTGGGAGACGAGTGCGGAGCGCTAAACTTTTCACATAATTAACGACCTTAATTACGACGGACAAATGCTCGTGTAATCTTGTCTTAATGATTTTGGAAACAAGAATCGCTTAGTGAATAACGCAAAGAGTGCCGAATTTTTCTGCTTTATGAGAGAAACCAATCCAGATTTGTCACCAAGCATGGCAAAATCACCATCTGTACATACATCAACAAGCTTACACCAACTCAAACCAGTATTTTTGAGAAAATCAACTAACACTTGAAAAACATCCCGCTGTCTTTCATGTTGTTTCCAAAGGTTGGCGGAAGAGAAATTATCAATAATCATTCCACCATCAACATATCTGGCATCCACAAGTAGCTGGGAGAGATAACATCTGTACTTTCGTCCAGATGAAGTGTAAAAACAGGAGAGGAGGTAATCTTCGATATTACCTTGCTCTTAAATCTTAATCAATATTTTCCGACATTTCATTGATTCTGGATTTTGTTGTGTCGTTGGACATTGAAATTGTTTCATTGTTTGAGATGCTTTCTCTCCAAGCTCCACTATCACACTTTTCAATATACAAGGTTTCAGGAGGGGTTTACCAATCGGATGTGCTTTTTAGCTTTTGCCACTTGAGCGATGGCAAATGATGTATGTACAGCAGTATTGTTAGTCTGCCAAAAAATTGACGAATTCGTCCAGCTTTTGAATTTTTAGACTGGACAACCTGGCTTAAAAAAATACCGTCTCTTGATTGTGTTAATGAGGAAGGTTTTGTGGTACTGTTTGGAAAGCTTTTTATGCACAGAACACACTGAGGAAAATAAAGACCATCCCGAATAAGATACGTAAACCCAAAATGTAAATAACCGTTCTGTTTCTTCATTTTTTTTTCGTGACATTCTGTTTCAACAAATGTGGTATTTTTGTGACTAAATTTGATGTAATTAGTAAAATAAAATAGAACTCGACTCGTGATGTTGGTTTTCAATTTCGGTTGAAATATAGGCATATAATTATACTGATATTGATAATAATACTGATTTCTCGCAATCAATAACACAACGTTTCTCGCAACAAAACAAGCAAATAGATGTGATTTTTGTTTACCTTAGTCAAAATATTTTTTCACAATGACGAAATTTACCCGCAGGGGTACCCACAGGGGTAAATTTACCCCAGGTTAAGAATTACTGCGCCAGAGCTTATACGGTATATATACGAAAACCGACCCCAAATATATTTATGGCGTCAGAGTTAACCGATTGCACAAGAGAGCAACTGAACAAGAAAAGCTGTTACCAGTGGGAGAACTGCTTTAAGACCATTTCAATAGGAATCCGGTGTAGGCCAGAATTGGTGCATCGAGTAGATTTGAATGAAGTTACTTGACATGATATTTTTCGAGTTTTGCTTTAATAAAGCATTAGGTGCTCATCTTCAATCGTCAGGTCATTTATACGAACATATATATATAGATGAGTAAATCGTAAAATAAGCAGAATTCTTGTTTATTCTCTTGTTATCTTGTGAGTATTCGTTCCAGACTGCGATGATATTTGTATAAGAGTTTATATAACTTTCCCAAGTTTATACTGTGGTGGTAGTTGAACATCATACGAAAGCATTTGAGTGTAACGCTGGCAAATGAAGTTGGGCAACCATGCCTTGTAAGATTTTTTCTTAATCTTATGGGCTCGTTCATTTGCAGAAGTTTGATAGTGGATCTGGGTCTATTTTCCGCTTGAATAGTGAAACATATTAAAAATTAAAAATTTCTGTCTAAATATATCTTCCAGGTTGGCATAACCTGGGTAGCATAGTGTATGAATTTCTTTGTTACTAAGTATAGAGATATTTGAACAGATTTTATGTAAATTTATTTGCAAGTGACATATTTCAATATCCAGGACATTGAATTTCTTTCACAAATAAGCAATCGTTACACAATAAATAAATTAATTTAAAATTAGATGTTGATACTTTTATAAAAAATCTATAAACCAATTCAATTTCTTTTTCAAAGTATTTTATCTAGTACTTTATGAAGGTGTATCAAATAAGTATTCAAACATTATATATGAATTACCAAACACCAAAATGGTCAAGAAAAAATGAACAATATTCTGATTTAAGTATGAATATGATGACTTTGTGATGATTGAATGGCGAATTTAGGTTGAAAAATCAATAAAATCATTCATTTTGACAGATAAATATGTTTTGACAATAATATAAATATTTGTGAATTGGTAAAATATCGAAAAAGAGATTCAGTTACCCACCCAAGTAACATTACAACATAATTGCTGTAAGGAACATGTTTGATGAAAAATGTCATTTTAGGTAGAAAAAAAATCAAAATATAACAATACACTAAATCCAGTTGATTTATTCCAATCGTTGGTTGCATCAAATTAGTGATGTGTTTCATAAAAGACCACAGTGGCCGGACTTTGTAAAAATAATTACTACGATTTTCAAGTATTCGGTATCTTATCAGCAACGAGACTCTTATGTACGCATTGTTGTCTTTTAAGCAATTTTAATATACATATCATTATTATATTTCAGTCCATATTTTCCATCACCCAATCATAGAAGTCAGCCATCTGGAATAAATATTAAATAAAATTCAACAAACATAAATTAATTTAAAATAATTATCATGTCATGACATCGAGAGTTTGTTTATCCTCTTCGTTCTCTACAAATAATCAGTGGTATTCGGTTCTGAATTTTCTCTATTTACTGTAGTTATAGCAATTCCGTGATACGTTGCACACTAAAAAAACCTTACCCTTGTATAAACTCCTGGTTTATTATGCTGTCCACATGGTGTCGTACCATAGGAAGTTAATCCGTGTAGAAAATATCTTTCGTTTTGTATGCAGAGTAAAGGACCGCCGCTATCACCCTGAATTTAAAAAATAATGATAACATAAATGTAAATGACAAAAAAATTGGGAAGAAAATGCTGTTAGGAAAAACATATAGTTTTGGACAGTGAATCACTGCAAGTTTTATATTATAATAAAAAGTTGGAACACAGAAGCCGATAGTTAGCGTACAATATCCACTGGTTCTATTCTTCGTATGCACAATGCTTCAAAGACATCCGGACAAATTATTGACGAATGGAAATTTAAATATTTGGGGGTAGACTTCCCCAAAATGTAGGTATTCCCTTTATAATATGTCTTCTTTAGAATATGCTTCTACTCACAGCACATGTATCTTCATGTTGCGCTCCTCCAGCACAAAACTTTGGGTCGTTTGTGTTCACTGGACGTCCATGGTAAGGCTCCGTTGATGGAATCGTTGTAACGGAATTACACAGAAAGTGTGGTATTATTATAACGTTCAATTGTTGCATAATTTCACTCCGATTTTTCTTTTCTATTTGAAGGATTTATTAAAAAGGTGAAATGATAAGTTGGGGCAGGAGCTGGAACTAAATTCACATATATCGTGATTTTTACTTTGATGTCTTTATTACAATTGCTGCTTCATTACAAACAACGCAAAATGCGACGTATTGTGTTGGTGCCTATTCCCGCAAGTCAAGCAAAATGTTAGGAATTTGTTTTAATTGTCGATGTATAACTGACCACTGAACAAAATCATGACTTTCTGTGCATTGGTTTAACTTGCATTTAATCTACGATTTACTTCGAGAATCATTGTCTCGCTCTCGACATACAATCTCAAGCAAGTAGGATTTTAGTATAGGAAGTAACATTATCGCTCATATTCTATTTTTTTCCAATGAACCATGATTCTGGTTGTGAAAGGGTTAAAATCAATTTTCAGTATTCAAATAACTCCATCAACTGTGTTATTAAATCTCTTCTTGTGATAGTTTTAATGTGACCTCATGAGAACAAAAAATCAGGACAAACCTGTTTGACCCCATCCAAGTACTGTACAGAGGGTTCCTGATAAAGATGACGGTTTTCCTTCAAAATCAATTGGAGTTGTTGAATCTGTTGGAAACCCACTCGGTACGAGACATACAGGGCGTATGTATCGAGTAAACACAACTGGCTCAGAAAGCTTAACAACGAAATAAACATTTGTGAAAATCTGTATAATACCTGTTGCATTTCGAATAACTCCGACAAAAATGATTTATTAACAACTTAGAATGAATTATAGCAGTTTTGGAAATGGTTTTTCTACCAATGTTTGATCAAATTTTCGATAAAAATGACAGACTAGATGACACAGCAACAATAAAGTATTTTAATTATAATCCAACTGTTACGTGCTGTTTAAGATGATTGGTCTTTAATTATGGACCAGATCATGTAATTTTAATCAGTCAGTTGCCCGCAAATCTTTTCTAAATTGGAGTTGGATTTTCAACTTGAATTTTTTTATTAATCACTGTTATTTATTGTTTATTGTAATTACTGCATATTGTAATATTTTTTTTATGCAAATCACCTTCAATATAGCTATATCATTGTTAAACGACGATACCAAAAATTCCGGATGCCGAACAATTCTCTGTATATCAAAATCTACTTCGTGTTCTGAAATTTCGGACGTATTGTGTTGTCCTAAAACAATCCCGTATAATTCAGGGGAGTTCGGCCTGTCAAAAACAAATAGTATTATATAATATTTACTGCAAAACTACCTGCGAAGCGAAGAATTGATATCGAAAACGGTCATTCAACATTTAGGATGGAATTTACATATTTATCCCGGGGAAGAGGTAAGCCGATAAGACCGCTTAACCATACGGCGAACCACGGCCTCTCGTCCGGTTACCAGTCCATGTCGGGCATGAGATTAGTTAGTTATTTGTTTTCGGAAGCATGGACTTGATGGTGGAGGAAGCCGTAACCGACCAGCGTTTACGTGAACCACGCTACGACGTCGAGGAATCCAGCAATCCTCTCGCACATAACTATCCCGCATGGGATTCGGACCTGCGAACCCGCGCAAAGTAATCAGAGATGCGGTGGCGAGCGTATTTCTAACGCTTAGCACGATGAGCCACACTGCTGCGCTGTAGTACCCCTAACATTACGGTTTTTACACCCATCGATAGAGTTTTGTGACCCACAAGGCTTAATAATACTTACTGGGCAATACAATGTGCTGCGGTTACGACATATTCTTCATTAATCAAAGATCCTCCGCAAATAAATCCACGATCTCTTCCACGCACTCTTTCATAAAGATATGCCATCCATGGCCAGTCACCTTCAAATGTATCTGTTCCACCTAATGATGAAGTGTTTGAAATGAAACTTTGACAAAAATTTCAGTATCAAATAAGGTGAAGTTTTTGCTTTAATCAGGAATCCAAATAGATTCTAGATGCATTATTTGCTGGGAACACCTGGTGAATCACGCGTTTTGAGTATTTTGAAGCGAACGACATCAAATCGAAATTCAAACTCTAGAACTGAAAAGAGACAGCCGAGTAAATAATCCCAGTAAATAGCTTCTTCTCTATACTTCCCTCTAAGCATGCATAAAATACATACGGTAACTCTCTTTGTAATGGAAGCCAAGTGCAAAATTTTGTTTGCAATTAATACCGGAAAGTTACTTACGAAGTATTCTTCTTGTTACCATACCAATGAGAAATCTTGCAATGGGCGTTTCCATTTCTGAATAAATAAATAAATAAATTTAATTTCAGTTCTGTTCGTAAAACGAGTTGTCTCCGTGCTAGGTGATGAATAAAGGTTTATAGCGCAGGCGTGAGAATTTTTGAAACATGGTTAACCAACCCATTTATGAATCTGCCCTGTTACTAAGTAATAAAATATCCTCATTTTAGTCATTGCGATGACAAATTATCAATCGATATTTTGAACACGATGAAACCTACAATCAAAATAGTATTTATCTATATTAAAAAAAAATGAAAAATACAAAGATTTATGAAACAATTTGAATAGGTTTTAGAATCGAGAGGAATTTGTACATTTAAAAATCAAAATCTGAGTTTAAAACGAAATTTTATACTACCTAATGATCTCGAATTGTCAAACGGTCTGGGTGAAACGAGTCCGCATTCTGCGAATGGATTGGGAACAACGGGCTTCGTTGTCTCCGCAGTGGTAACATCTGGAGTTGTTTCAATAACTGCTGTAGTTGGTGTAGTTGTTTCAGTAACATTTGTTGTCGGTGTAGGAGATGGTGGATTGAATACAGTGCCGGATAATATAAAACCATAAACCATTAGTGTACCGGCAGTTAACTTGTAGCCGGTGATAACGCAAGTCGTAGGCATTTCAAAATATAAAACTTTAAATAAAAAAATAAAAGTAAACCGGCGAATAAATTAATAATATATCGTGTGTGCTATTTCTGTGAATTTGCGTATCAGAAAACAATAGTTAGCAGATATCATTATGTATCATTTATGATAATGATCACCGTTATAAGTGCAAGTTTATATTGAAGTATGTACTCTAGCCCAGTGGTGGGAATCAATTTTTTTGTCAGCCGGTTCCATCATACAAATGTCATATTTTCAGACGGTTCTGTTACAAAAAGTCATGTAATGCTAACCGGTTCGCTGATCTCATAAAATTCTGTGAGACGGTTCTATAGAACCGGTGCGAACCGGCTGAATCCCACTGCTGCTCTAGCCCCATATCACGTATATGCTACATGTTGACATTTCCAGTTGTGAGGAAGCAAATGTGGCCAACCAAACAGTGAACTACATAATTTAATTTTTAACAAAATTTCTCTAATTTGAGACAAAACCGTTCATCTGTTATGTTAATTTTACAATTTATTCCGTTCCAGTCTAATATTTGATAATATTTCAGAATAAATAACCTATATGAATTGAAATAGATTTCATCTTGTTGACGTACTACAAAATTAGTGAAATTAAAGAATCTATAAAACGAAATTAATCTAAAAAGGTATAAAACGCACTCAAACAACACAGGTGAAAGTGAACGCATATAAATCAAACATTAACAGTTTGCAATGTTTGTTTGATTCATATACTTTCACTTTAATCCATTGGTTGTTCAGAGGTAATATATTAATTTTTTTTTTGTTAATTTGTGACCATCAGGCATTTCTAGTCTTTGTACCTCTCTCAATGAACATATCTATTTTAGAGATATACCGCCTGAGTAGTTTACAGTTGTATCTTTGCTAGTTTATCACACAAAACTGTAAATATTAATCACGTTATTCGCGATAAAAGTTGTATGATTCCGTATATTAATTTTTACATTCCGTATAATGTCCCAATTGTAAGTAATGCCTATTGATAATACCGTCTCGTATGCTCATTTGTTAAATTATACTCCGCTAATCATGTTGAGCTAACCTGACTTGCACTATTATTAATATAGTTCAGAATATTGGATTATTGTTGGTGATTGTGAATTTCTGTATGACGTTATGTGCGAGTGATATGACCGATATTGTACGTCGTCAGTTTCGATTTCGTTCCAACGCTGCTGTCGATGGAATTCTATAGGTTATGATTGATTTAATATATTCAATACTTTTATAATTAGTAAAATTACCGACAAATTCACCTAATTTGAGGTAAAATCGAAACAGATCACACTTCCGCTATCAATATTATAAGTATCAAATATAGCTGAGATGTTACACTTTTTATTTTTAAATGTTCAATTTTAGGTCTAATGATACTGTTAAATGACTTCATCGATGAACTTCAAAATAAGTCATGCAACTGAAAAAATACAAAGGATGAAGTAGAGTTTATTACTATTTAATATTATATATATATGATATTAATATTTTCTTGAAAATGCAGAAATTACAAAATTATTTTCGACGTCCTACGCACTTATATATGAAATATTTTCAAAGACAATATTTATAATTTAACTGTTTAGATATTTGCCTTAAATGGTCGGAAAAGCTAGCGTCATTACTTTCACTTTTACTAGTACTTGGCAATAATTCAACTTCCTATTTCCATATGGATTTCCGTTGAATCATTGCACCGCTAATGCAATTACTGGTCCATAACGACGTCATAATGTAAAGCGACATAATTATGGCAAATTAAAAAAAATAAAGAAATATAAGCAACACAATTCACGATATTAGTAAAGTAAAGCAGCATTATATGCATGCTACACAGCCCATAAAAGGATTAAAATACACGACATTATAACACAATACATGGGTTAAAACCTCATTTTCATGTAGAACACAGACATAAAATGACTTGTGAAGTCATTGACGCAATTTTGATTGGTATATACGCAATTTATATGAATTCTCTGTGTTTAATGCTCACCCAGATTACGCAACTCGAAATGTATTTTGATGAGTACCGAAACTTGGAATTTCCCTAGATTTATAAAACACGCAATCAATTTAGATAAATGCAGCAACTGTCATGACTGACTTTACTGTCTTTTCCGACGCCGCAAGGAATCCGACAAATGTTTCGAATTGACAAACCAGATACCAAAAAAAGACATTTTTTACAAACCACTGATCCACAAATTTCTCGTTTTCCGCTAAAAATAATTGAAATAACGTAGCTCAGATGAGCAAGTTAATTCAATGATCGAATTATTTGAGTTTATCACAGCAGCAGTCTAATCACTAACAGTATATGATCATGTAATTTGCGTTCCTTTTTTTTATTTTAAATATTATGATGAAGCTTTGTCACGTCTAAAACAAGAACCAGCGTGATGTGAGAAATGCTGATCACCAAGTGAAGTAAATATGACGCATACAACGAAAACACCGAAATATAAGAACGCCGTGGGCATAATATATTGAGACTAAGCAATGTTTCAATTATTAAGTTTTAACCTTTAAATTTCATCAAAAGAGAATACAGTATTTTTAAATTTAGGCATTATATGTAATTATGAACACAATAGATATGTAAATATGTGTACATGTACATTATCGCAAAAATAAATTAATTACATTTTACCTGATTTTATATTGTTGATTTATGATTTCTATCGCAAACTATCTGAACTAGGCTCCACAGCATGATAATATCAATACAATAATGCAATACAATTTCTAGTTTTTAAATATATTTTTCATCATCTGTATTTTTTTCTATTATTTTAATCATTAGTTTCAGCCTATGTTTCATAGTTTATTCGTAATTTGAAAAAGTTGACGAGACAAAGCAGACTGTTTTATCGAAAATACCATGGCTATGAAATATGAACAAAATTACATCGAGGCTATAACGCAATACGCAATTATCCTTTTTATATTAAGTGTACTTCAGTTAGTGCCACATACCTGTGCTATACATCTGAACACGTAACCACGTCTAAATGATAAACAACTTGCAACGGACGCTGACTGTTCGAGAGTTGTAATACAAGTGTAATACGAGAGATACTAAGTTTATAATCAAATCATAGACTCAAAAACATTACAAACTAACCACTGAGTTTGTTCAAATATAGAAAGCATAAAGTATATGGTTTCACTAATTTTATTTACGTCAAGATGTTCGCTATATAATTCCGAATCTTATTCAACAATAACCTTGAAAACTGCTCTTTAAATTTTTGAACTAACCTAACAATGTTCAAAGGTGTGTAACATAATATATTAAAAGAATAAAGGATCCCGTCAATTGTTGGATTTTGGTTTTCTCTCAGAATTACATGAGTCATCTAGAGACAATTCGTCTCACTTTATAGGGTGAAATTGCTCTAAAATTGTATGTTGGCCTACATTGATTGATACTCACCATAATATTTGTTCTTTGCGCATGGGACAATATTGTGTGGGTTCCAACAGCATTTCCATCTTTCGCATTGACTTCTACAAAAAATATTCGAGTCGATTTCATCACACCCAGATTTAGAAATATTATTATACGTATTTTAAAAAACACAACTGAAGTTCTATGTCATAAATAAAGGCACAATTGCCAATGCAAGAGTAATGCAGAACACATTTGGAATATAATGGTGACACCAACCCTCTTTGGTATTGAGTTATCATTCTTATGTATCGGGTGACATTGTCGAGAGCAAAAGTCATTAAATTTCACTATTCTGATTATCATTTTAAGACTCAGGTGTAGTTTGTATTCAGCATGAAACTTTGAAACAGGCGCACGAGATCCCGAAGTTTGATCGAAACCAGCATTGCAACAATGGCTACAACATATAAGTATGCATCTGATTAGAACGTCATACCTGCTCACTTTCTTGATTCTTTTGTTACAAGGCTTCCTAATGTTTATTCTGCAACTATGCATAACTTTTGCTGAACCGTAGTTTTGCATGAATCCTGAAAACAAAAATTACCATTTACTTCAATTTATCAATCAAGTAGGCCTACCAATCTACTTGTAACTGAAAGTAAGCCTAAATGAATTTTTAGAGAACGAGATGTCATTTTTCAAAAGTATCGCTGTCGTGTCCATGCTGTGATATATAGACAATTAATAAGTGACTTTGTAGACGTAGAACGTAGTGTGTAACCCTATTTGACTGTTGAACCTTTATAACCAGATTCTACTAACAGTTTGAATTTGAAAAATCCATTTTATTACCTTTGGGTATTATTGTTGGATGGAACGAAACACTTAATCGTCTTTGATCGGCATTATCCAGCACACTCGAAAAAGATGTAATATGCTCTTGTTTGTCTTCTACCATGCTTGTTAAGGTAGAAAGCCTAAGCATTGTCAGCAACCACTCCATATACATGCTTATTAATGTTACAAACTAACTATAAATAGATTTTCAATTCCAGAAAAATTAACATTCATTTAAAGCGGAGAAAAAAGTAAAGCGCATGTAAAATAATGTTGTTGAGTGCAAATCTTGTCACGCCATATTGCAATTCCCAAACAGAAGTTAGATGAGTGGTTCTCTTGGGCAATCTCACCAAGATGAAGCGGAGAGCATCTTGAAATGAGTAAACGGTGATATACCGTTACAGTCTCTAGCTAAATCATGAATAATTTTATCATAACATCAGTAACAAAATAAAGAAATAAAATAAGAAAGGACTAATGTCACCATTCATGAAATATATCTAAGCGAAAAAAGTGCAATAAGCGACTGCTGAAATATCAAATGTTACGTCAACGTTTACATATTGTTGATCAGTCAATGTTGCAATGAACACATAAATGTAAAATTTTAGAATTGCTCAGAGAGAAATCCAAAAATTAATCATTCAAGCTTTCACGATAGCCAAGATTTCTCAACAAAAACCGTCAGCTATCATAGCAACTTCAAGAGTTACTGGACTGGTGTATCATCAAGATTGCATACGCCTACATTCATACTTTTTATTGTATCAATTTCTGAATTTCCAATTGATTTTAATTTGGGGATTTAAATGGGGTGTCACTTGAAAACTAAGATAGGGGAACGATTTGGGAAACCACTGGCTGAAACCAAAACTGCTTCTTATTACGGATACACTGTTCGTCGTTCGTTCTCGTAGGAACGACTTCCCCCCTTACATATGATAAAATTAGGATTACAGTGTCCGTTTATAAAAATAAACTTAATTGGTACGGTATGGTACACTGGAGCGCCAATGGACCAAGTTTCAATTAATCTGAGGGTTTATTTTATAGATTTCCATGCTCCTTATAGAATTTCATCCTAGCTTTTGGACTTCGATTATTCTTATAATTCGATTTCGTATAAATTCACATCATATATTTTGCAGCAAATTTAATATGTTTCCATTTATTAAGAAACATATTTGTACAAAAGAAGTGATTTGCGTTTGGTATTCTACACGATTTAAAAAATAATATCTGGCAAATCAGCGGTGTTCCAGTTTTTTGCCCGAATCCGTTATAAATGATTTCAAAACAGGGGACATCTTCTTTCATACCATACTCATTTTGTTTCACTGTTTAGTGAACCCGATAGAGAAATACTCCCAAACGGGAATCACATGCAACGACAAGACGGGAAGGAAAATCGCCCCAGGGAATTTCGAAACAAAGTTGAATGATTTGTCTTCGCAACTATCTTACATTATTAGTTCAATCAAGCACATAGTTATAATCCCAAGTCAAGTAGCAACCAAAAGTGGGTTCAGACATACATACAAATATAGAATTATACCTGAGATTTTAACAAAAAGATTTAATGAGCACAGCCAGAACTCGACCTGCGCACTTTGTCGAAAGCTTTCTATAGAATCATAAAGTTTCAATATCTGATCTACTACTGATTTATCTGAAACTAGAATAAAAAAATAGATTATCGCTATGGGAGCTACAAAACTAATTTTCTACACCTACTTGGCATCCATACCTTAACGAAAATACGGATGAACTTGATCTGCTTCTGCCTTTGTCACGTGCTCAAGGACAATCAGCAACTCCAACATCTGATGTTACGTACGCACAAGTTCCTCCATTGCTGTTGCTGTACTGCAAGGTAACCAAAAATAAAACAAATTCTTTCTTGGAGCAAATTTTAATCACCTTATACGTGTCCCTTGTCCAAACACATCACTGCGATCGCGAGGGCATTATATCATGTTATTAGGTTTTTAATTACCGAGATTTCCAATTCATTGAATAGGGAAACAATATCTACGCATCATGATGGACAATTTCAAAGAAAAGACATAAGACTTATAAAATTCACCCGAGACTCACTCAGTAGGTAAAAAATTTCCGGTGAAAATATGTTTTTGTAACGCAATCGGTACAAAAGCTTGAATTGTTTGATATTCAAGTGCGAATATTTTTGTGATCTCGAAGTCTTACAATTCAAAATGACTAATACCTACTAGTATTATACCCCTTGGCATTGATGGTAATACTAACTAGCGCATTTAATATCAACATGACTTATTTCAAAGATTATGACTTTTAAAACTGAAATTCTGGTTCAGCATATTGTCCCAAGTTCTTTTGAACTAGGTTTAGCAACGCGTACCTCATCGAACGCAATCACTATTTTCCGAACGAGAGTCTTGTATCTACAGCTACGCGGGGCATTCTTGAAATCATTTTAAACTCCGACTCCACAGCCCTGTAGATTTCACTGGTTTTAGCACACGGTCCTTGAATATTAGGACTCAGAAGGACAAAGACCTACTGGATGACTTCGACGCGCCATGGCGTACATCGTTGGCCGTATATGGAATGCGAGTCCTAGTTCTCTCTAGTAATATGCCCATGGAGAAACACTATTATGATCGCGCGACAAATGGCGCAACGTGCTAAGCGTTAAGCATATATCTGTCATTGCACCTCTGGTTACCCTGCGTATGCCCAAACCCCAAATCCCATTCGGGATAATTATGTGCGAGAGGATTGCTGGAATCCTCACCGTAAGAGTACCGTATAATTCACGTAACCACTGGTGGGGTACGGCTTCATTCATCATCAGGTCCACACATCTGAAACAAATACCTGGCTAACTAATCCTATACTCAGTGTGGACTGGGCGTAACCGGGCGAATGGCCGTGGTACGACATATGATCGGGGTATCGGCTCCCATATTCTCCCTGGATGAAATGATAAATTATCTTTATGCTATCATACAATCGGCGGTGGGCGCCATAGAGTGTTTTTTCGTCTATTGGTAGCATCAAAGCTATTAAGTTAACTATGATCAAAGCCCGGTAACGTTAAAGATACTGACATATGACTGATTTAGTGTTTGTATACGCAGTAGTCTTTCCAGCGGCAGAACGGGGCAGCCATGGCGAAGAATAATGTTCTAAGCAAAGAAAGGACCAGCATCCAAGGGGATATTATCGATGTTATGATATATTTACCCGACAACACTGGTCATCAAGTTCACATTCAAGACGGTAAAACAACAACAACGACCAAATTTTTTGAAACCATGGTCGCCACACTTGATCTTCCTGCCGAACCTGCCCAGAAATGTTTTGCTCTCTGGTTGAAATCACCATTGCTGGGTTAGTAGTGTAACTGTTTTATGAGTGTCGTGTGATTTGTTTTACTGTCATGCTATTGTCACATTGCTGGATTGTAGCATAATTCTGTAATTAGTTTGATTATTTACTCAACAGTTCCATATCTTATCTTCATGTTTGTATGCAGGTATGGTGTTCCAAAGCTATCAAAATTATATTTACCTGACATCAGATTTTAGGAAACATGTACTGATTAGAGGTCTATGTGAGTTTCGACATGTTGGGTGTTGAAATTTTATTTAGGATTAGGATTTTACATTTTTATTATGCAGGAAAGTCGATGAGACAGGTTAACCATATGGCATACCATAGCCGCTCAATCATGTCATTTGATAATCCGGTTCATTTTGGATATGAGATCAGTTAGCCAATTATTTGATCCAGATTCAGAGATTCATAGACTTGAAGCCTTAACTGACCAGCAGTTACATTAACCACTTTTAGGCGGCGAGGAGTACAGCAATCCTCTCGCACACAATTATCCCAAAGGATTCGAACCTCTGAAGCCACGCAGGGTAATCAGAGGTGCGGTGGAAAGCGAATTCCTAATGCACGATTTATTTTATATGTGTTGTATGATATTCTAGCGATTTTTAGCCACTAAAAATTCAAAGCCACTGCTACCGTTGGAATACAATTTATCACACTACACGTTTGCCAGTCAAGGAACAAAATGTTCGGCACATTCATTTTAGACCCTGGCAGCGGCGAAACTTATATTTGATACATGATAAAATGCTCGATCAGGCTTGCCCAGAATCAAATACTGTACTTGTATTTTTGCACATGTAGAGTACTGTATTCGTCCTGTTTTAAAACACACAACAGGCGCTGCACGAAACTGCAAGGCAATTTTGGGGGTATGACGTTAAATTTACGAACATCAGACGCGATCGGCCACTCGAAACATGGAGATCGATCGCGGTCGACGTGTTTGCCATCCCTGTTGTACAGAATACAGATCCAAGGTATATTCTGTGAACCATTGAGTTTTTTTCCCGTCAAACATTCCATAATCAAATGTAATTCAACTATATGCCTAATTTTTTTGTGTATTGCTTCATTACGCTGATTACTGGATAATGAACAAGGCTCTTGGCGAGCAGCCAATTATACACTTCATAGCATATAATAATAGTTGGATCACCAGAAATACACTTCTTTGAATATATCATTTATTTACATCTTTAAATGAATAGAATTCATTGGAAATGCATACCTACAAGCCTACAGAAGTTAAATCTCACGAATCCTGGCCTCTATTGAGGACGTGGATGTTTTTTTATCATTGCTAAAAAAGCTAAAATCAATAGTTTTCCTCATTTAGTTTGGTCAACCTTGAATAATCAAATATTTTCCGAAAAGATGGAAAATATAGGCTATATATTAGCAAATTTAATTAGGCATTATACAAACACAAAAATAAAACATAAGCATATTTTTGAATTTATATAATAGCTTACTATCAATTGAAGATATCTTATCAATTTTCAGATGTTCAATTGAGGCCGCATCATGTACCATTTCGTATGGTACGACAGTGGGGCCTTCTCATTGACAAATTTTCTGCAGCTGATGATGTTGTTAAAATGAAAGGTATATATATATATATGCTAATTGCTAATATGACTCAATTTATTTGTGTATCCTAAATGTTTTCAATAATATATGACTTTCGATTGTAAATCCACAGTAGTTGATAAAATTCAACTTACCCTAAATTTAAACATCCATCTTGTGTCACTGGCTGGATTATATTTACCGGTATATAATTAATTTGTAAGGTTTCCTAAGTATTTGTTCGTTGAAACAGAATATTGAATTATCTCACATTTAACAATTGAATTTTTTTTCCTGTAAAAATCAGTACCAATAGTCAGTACAAATTATGGCATAAAACATTTTTTGTTATCATTAAAAGTATTCAACCTTATCGGTTTCTAAGTAATTTTGCAGTTGCAAAAATTTTATATGAAGAGAAGTCTTTAATAGATTTTGTTTTCATCAGATGAGCCTGCTCTGGTGTTCAAACGAAATGCATTTCTTACTAAAGAAGAAGAAGCCAAGATACACGATAAGAAAATCTTGGATATTTTGTTGATGGAAGCAAAATCAAATATACAAAATGGTTGGTTTGAAGTATCCTACTCTATTTTCAAGTTGAGAGGCAAATGATCGCAGAATTACTGCATTCCGGAATTAACATATTTGGGGCATTCGAAGCAACTGTTGAATTTCTTTAATTTTTTTAAAAGTATTGAAATTAATTGTTTTGTATTTTTTATATCAAAAGACACTCGAATTTTATTAGACTGCATTCTTTCTACCGAAAAAGTTAAAATTTCACCCAGGTTTTTGATAATTTACACAAAGTTGCCTGAAATGTAGAAATTCCAATATAATCGATATGTTTTGTGATGACTCCGGTTCGGTTATTTTTATTTCGAATAGATGCACTGGACTTCAGTTAATAAAGCTTAAGTATTTGCTGTAGGACATGTCTTCACCTATTTAACGATTTATTACCAGAATTTTAATTGATGATAGAAGTCGCTTCCCAAAGTGGAAAATGTCCTGTAGTGTCCCATACAATATGCACATTATTGGCATTGCTCTACAGTGTTACATTAGGTAACTTGAGCATTAACAACAAAATGAAACATTAATGCATGGTTGACTTGCCGTCCCGTAGTGCCACTCTATATTTTAATATATATTTTATATCCGCTAAATAAGTCTTGTGTGTAACTTTTGTGCAGTTTTGTTCAAACCCCATCAAACAACTGATTGGACAATGACACAAAACATGTAGCTGGAAATGTAAAAATATATTGCATCTAACAATATGCAAAATTTTTGGAATAGTCTCGTAGAGTCACTTGGAATAGCCCATTTGTCTAACAAACAATATTTCTATAGCTGTACTGAAACTCATTGACATGATTGAGATATTTACGTCCTTGATATTTGAGAGTCAACTTCAAATTTTGAGTATTGATGAAAACTTGGATGGCCATACATACCGTAGTATGAATATATATAGAAGTTAGACTATATATATGGATAACATAAATTCTCGATGTCGATTATGTAAATGCTATGCATATTGTTTTTACTGTAATTACCGTAATTTTTCTTGATATTAAATAATTCCCATTCCTAGCTTCTAATTTTTCATTAGTGATTTCTAATTTTTTCGAAAAGGTATTTATCCGTGTGATCGGGAAGATGTTGAACAATTGGGGATTCTACTTTGTGTAATGAATAAACATCAGTGTCGAGGCAAAGATGTCAAGACTGAACAAAAAAGCTTCAGGTAGGAACATGCCAAGCAGGGGATATCGATTGTTTATTTTGTATAACAATCTGTATATTCAACAGCTTATTCATTGCTAATCAGACTTGCTCAGTATGTTTTGAAATTTTTTACTGGCCCAATTTCATGACTGTTGTAGGATGTTATATTGATCATTTTACCACAAATATACCGAATTTTACTAGAAATCAATAATTGGAATTCTTGATTAAAATTTTCTTATATCATTCTTTGCTTGAAATTCATTTTTTGACCATATCATTAAATATCCAATTTGTTGCCGATTCATCCTTCGAAAATAGTGTTCAAATTATATTGCTGTTAAAGTTGGTCATATTCTAAGAAAATGTCAAACAAATGAAGACACCAAGATATTACAATGTCAGTAGATATTTGAGAAGTTGTTTTTGAAGTAATATCAAATTACCAATATATTACCATGCTATTTTTGTAGTATTTTTATTGTCATGTTATTTTCAGAAATACGATACAGGGTGTCATACCAGAACATATGGTTCGTCACAGGAAAACAATATTTCGTCGTCAAAAATCTTTTGAAGATCATGTTTACCATAGTTTTCGTCATATTTCAAATAAAGAAGAAGTGGAAAATGCACAATTAGAGTTTATGAAAATTTGTTGGCAGTTACCATATTATGGGTAGGAATTTCTTATCACTTTGCCCAAGGGTAAATGTGTCATTCTACCATTATCTGTTTATTTATAGATACATGCATGTAAGTGTAATGATATATTTCTGGAGCAGAAATTAACAGCAATTTTGTATTTCTTGGTCTTTATCAAACCCAGGAACTAATATTCAGTCAGACATTGATGGATGATCTAAATGCTTTGTTCATTTGAAAAGGAATTTGTATTAATAAACAATTAGTTTTTTCTACGATGTCAAAGCAACCTCATTATTCAAATTATTTCCTGCAAAAACATGCTGTATATCCTTGTAATATGTACTCAAGCTCTTCAAATATAATGTAATATATATTTAGTCTATTTTTTTCGAAATTCGAGTAATTTTTTATGATATTAATTGGGGGAAAGCTGTAGTGTTTCAACTGTAGGTTTCGTTATCTGACTTGATAATACGTAACTGTACTTAGCTATACAATTTCTTTAAACACGTTGTTACATTTTAGGAGCGTTATGTTTGAGGGTGAAGTTGAGAATAAGAACAATAAAACATTGGCATCATGGTTTTTGAGTAGCTCAACAATGCAAGTTCGTGTCGCAATCAATACTACTGGAATCTGGATAATCAATTCAGAGAAAAAGGTGTTTCGTTAATTACTATTTTCTATATGTTGTTGTTGTCGTTCAAATATATGTACATTACATTACGGTGTGAGACTGTGTGACGTAGTTCAATCCCAATTATTGATCAGCTGAAACTCTTAATATAACTTTGCTTGTTTTGGGAAATTTGTTTTGCATTGATCAATTCATATAAAATGTCATTGCTAAAATGTTTGTGGTCTATAGGAAGGCAGTCTGGATATAGTTGCCGAAATAAATTTGTGAAATGAAAATTTATTGTCGTTTTAACATAGCCAAGAGAGATGCAATTTTTTTTTTTCAAGTCCAATTTTGGTAGAAACTACTTTGTTTGGTTTTAATATAGTTTCAGGGTTACTCATTGTTCTACCTGTTGATTTTAAATTTTGAAACTTGCATTTTTTGTTCAGCATGTTTTGCTTGGTTTGACGTACGGAGAATTCAACTGGGAAGTTGCCACCAAACAACCAGATGAAGATGATGAAAATGCTGGTGATGACAGAGAATCTATTCCAAGTCTGTTTATAGAATTTGATGAAGATAAAACAACAAAACTTCTACAAATTATATCGAAACAGGTTCTGTTAAAGTCGCGTTATGTTAAACATAGAGATATATGCATGCATAAAGATGGGTCGAATTCCTCCATTTTTGGGGCTGAGACAAATTTCCAATAGCATTGTGAATTTCGTCATGTGGATTTTGCTTGCAAACAATACTAAGTGCATACGGGTCCTTTCGTTCCAGAATTGACATTTGAAACTGATCCTTTTCTGGTATAAGTCAAGTTGTGATTCAGTATTGTTTTAAATGGGCAATCATGTCTAAATGAGGATTGGTTACAAACAAGGGTAACATTGCTGATTCTGGCTTTTATATTAATGCCAATAATACAGGAACAAAATTGTGGCGTAAAATTGTTTTGATTTGCTAGATTTGTTCCATATGACTGATGATCCAGACAAAAAGTTTGTTTCTTGAGTACAACTTTCATTGACAATGAAGCGAACTTTCGATTTATTTTGTCTTTTCCTATGTTCCTATGCTAATTCACATAGTTCTCTGGAAAATTGAACTGTTTTTTGCCCAGTGGCTCGTTATCACATTATTACATTCATAATTTTACAGGCAAGCATGATGAACTCAATGATAGAAACATGTACTGCTGCGGCATTGCAGGCCCAACATCTTAGAAAGTCTCCACTTAAAAGTCCAGATGAAGGTAGGGCTGAATTTAGTATTTAATCGGTATATGATATTTTGTGAGTTGTAAACCCAGAAGGCAGAATATGACATTATATTTTAAAATATCGCCTTTAGAATACCTATAGGTTTGGCACTGACCTCTGACAGAATTTTAGTCAAATAAAATACAGTAGGTGATATTGAGTGTCAAATCGCCTGCATATTTATTTGTCATCACAAAAAAAGATATGTACCTCAGATCGGTTGAATATTTAAAAGCTTTTTTACAGTAATAATAATTATGCAAATGTTTGGTACTATTAGTTCTAGAAAAGTTAGTATCATCATGAAATTTTATTTTAGTTAAGTCTGAAGATTCACCACACAAGGAAATGTCTTTCTTAAGCAGTAGTCGCGTTCGACCTCTGTTTGATAGACAAAGTTCTGTTACTCATGGAAGACCAGGAAAACTTTCTTGTCTAACTGTCCAGGAACAAGGTAACGTCTTTTATTTGTGGCCATAAGAAAATTACACTCTTCTTGAATTTCTTATGTGACTTCTCGTCGGGTCAAAGTGTGTTTGGTTATTCTATTTACTTTTATTATGTATGATTGATTGATTTGCGTTTGTTGTTTTCAATTCTCAAGCTATATCTGCATTCTGTACACTGAATATAATATAGTATATTATGGCGGTTAGCCGGTTATTTGTTATAGACGTTGGACTTGATGGTGAAGGAAGTCGTAACCGGCCAGCGGTTACATGAATGATCCTACGGGTTATTTCAGATGCATGGATTTGATAGTCCGGTAATCTATAATGAATGGATTGCTATCACATGAACCAGCCTTTTTTGAGTACCGGTAGTTACCTATATCGAATAATGAATTTGGTCAACTTGATTACTCCTTTACTGAAAACGAATGGTTTTGGGAAAACACTATGTTTTTATACCTCATAATATTATATTCATACCTTTAGAAACAGATAACAGGTAAGTGGAAAATTACAAGGTGGATTGATGCCTGTGGTGACATTTTATTACGTGTAAACTCAACTAGAAGAAATATTTATTCATTATTTTTTAAGTATGGTACTTTGACTGATATTGCTTATCTGCTGTGGGCTGTCCAATTGCCAGCTTCAATAGAGTGTGGAATGTTATTCAGTGTGGCATCATACCCCATGCTCTGTTAAGTTTAAATATATTCTGAATAATTTGGATGGTGGATTTTTAATCAATAAATGATATGTATGGCATGCTTCCTAATTTAAAAAAAAACAACTAATAGTCCTGTTTAAATTACACAAAAAAGATTACAGTAATATCGTATTTTCCAACTAATAAGCCGATTTTCTGGCCCCACATTTTTTGGGGGGTGGGGGGCATTTTCTGGGGTGGGCTGATTTGACAGCTCGGCTCATTTTTTCTGGGATCTTGGACCAGAAACTACTGGAAAAGGGGGACGGTTACGTGCCTTTTCCATCGGTTTTCATGAATCCGAGTTCTCAAACCGCGAATCTGGAACATTTTCTTTGTGATTTTTATATTTGATGTTACTGCATTTGTGTTTGCATCACAAGCAAAAGCAAGTACCGATACCATCATGCAAACTAAATCATGAATACTATGAGAATGTGTAATTGAGGAAAAAAACAGTACTGACCTAACGTAAACAAACTGAAAGATGATAGACATTTTTATCATGTTAGTCATAGTATTTGTCAGTTATTGTTCTGATCTTTTTAATAATATCCATAGTAATATTATAGTTGTGATTTTATTTGCTCACATGAAAACCATAATTTTAACACACCTGTTCATATTTTTTATTATGCCTTTTAGTTGTTTACTTTGACTTTTTGTGACTGGTTTGGAATTTTTCAATTTTCAAACTAGCCTATCAGGCAAAGTTCCGCGATCTTCTTTCAAATACTTGATATGATCCTTTTATACAATTATCAACCTTGGTGGTGGATTGTTAAGTTTTAATTGCTTAATCTAGTTTGGAATTCTGATTTCGAAAAATTCTTTGATTATCCCGGGATATAATTTTTGTTCTACTTTGAGGCCTCTCAATGTGGTGGATTATTTGCTTCAAATATTTTGAAAAAGTTGAAATTCATTCAACCAATTCAACAAAATTTGCACTAATTGTTGAAAAAAGTCTCAATTTTCTCCCTTATTCATTTCATTTCCTGAGGACAGATCTGAAAAATTGTATCCAAAAAAATTTGGAATGGTGCGTTTGGAGTAATACCGTCCCTTTTCTCTTGCCTTTATGTTAATGAATTTGTATGCACCGAATGCAAGCATATTTCATAAAAAAATGGGGACCACTATATTTAGTGGATTTTTGAACCATTCAGATTATAAAAGGTGTTTAAGAAATAAGTGTTATTTTGCTTGTGTGAAGCAGGATTGTATGTGATAGTTCAAGCCTATGAATCAACATTTTCTAAGATCCTCATTATTGGCTGAAGTTTTCATTGTAGCCTTGTATAAAAATTGTTATCAATCATCATTAAGTCATTCAAACTATTCTCAAGGACGAAGTAATTTGTATTATTCCATTGGGAGAACCACATACGTCAAGTTTTTGTCAATATGATTGGCAAGTCTGAAGTAAAAAAGTATAAATTATACAAATGCATCATGAATTTTGCATGTGGTGATGCTCATAATATTGGTGATTTTGGCATTGAATATGGTTTTGCTGTGAAGAAAATTTGGATTTTTATATTCACACCCTGAGGAATTAATCAGCTATCCAGTGCATCTTGGAGCTAGCAAAAAGAATGAATAGATAAGCTTGTTTTTTAAGAATTTCAAATTTGATTACGGGATAGCAGTACTTGTCATTGCGGAAGATCCAATTGGAAACTTGTATTCCTTTATAAAAGGGCTAATTTGAATATTTCCTGATTATGTTATGGTGCATTGGTTAAATCTGAAAAAATTTATTATTCAATATGTTCATGGACATCCAACTAATAAACAAAAATTTTCTTGTTGCATCATGTCTTCTCGGTTTGATCTATTCATGAAACAAGCTAGACCATTCATAAATAAATCAACACTTTTTGATTGGGATAAGATTGAATTTTCCTCAAAAGGCAAAAAGGAAAACAACGTGGAAAAAATTGGATTAGAAGAAGTAGTTTGCCTCAATCATATCGACCAGTGAATCGAAATACTTTTCAACTTCCTGGGAATATTTTTCAATTATTTCCGTTTTGATTTGAATGATAAAAGAACTAACATAATGTAATATATTTTCTTATCATATTGATTTCTCTTGCTGATCATAGTTCTCATTTTATGATTTTTGCTTTACTTATTTCATCTTTGCTTTTTTACTTCATGTACTTAAAAAAATAAATGAACTAGTTTTTGAAATATTTCTTTGACTGTTGTGCACCAGAATTACAACAATTTTTTCATTGTCTCATTAACAAAATATATTGATAATAGAGGAAAAAAAATGTTTTTGAACGGAGTTTCTTTATTAGTCGGTATTTATTCTCATCAATTGAAAATACTCGGCAACATTCACAGATTCTTTAGACATGTATGTAGATGAGGTTAACACTTTCATGGCAGAGCGGTGGTTATCTCATTCATGCTATTTATAATTCAATGCTTTTCATGTGTATATATTTTCATTTGGTTTGGTAAATTTGAAATTTTTTTTCAGTTTTGAATAAGTAGGCAACAAAAAAATACCTCTCCTATAGAATTGGAATTTATTTCAAATTATTTTATTAGACGTGTCATATCTATATAAAGCATGTGCCACAATTCCACAACCTTTTTTAACAGGATACAATTATGACCCACACTCGACACTTATAACATAAAATATTTAAAACAACTTATGATAAAAAAGATTCTTATTTGAATTACTACAGCTGATCATCGTGAGGATTCCAAAACCAAGTCATCAGTAACAGATGAATCTGAACTTCAGAATCATTTATCAAGAATACAACACGCAAGAAATTTCTTTCGTCGTTCTACTAAAAGTAATAAAACACTTACTTCAGAAGAAGAACGAGATGAACTTTTGTAACTTATAGTATTATTTGTTTTAAAATTTTATACTTTTTTCTAGTACTATATTAATCATAGAGCACTTATTATGTACAGAGACCAATGCTTTTTTTTTTTTTTAAAAGTTCAAAGTAAATCATGAAAAAATGTTCAATGTTGAAAAAGTTGTAGTAGGGAAAATGTTGTTATAAATCAGTTTGTTGGGCTTTGGAACTTAAGTGTCGTTTGCAGTTCTTTTTTTGCTCATAAACAACAAAACTTATTACACAAAAAAGAAATGTCTAACACTTTTTTGTAGAAACATTCTAATTTTTCATGCAAAGTTTGTTTTTCTATTTTTGTACCATTGATGTTAGGTTTATCAGGGCTATTCCAAGGTAAAATACACCGAACACTTTTAGCATTGAAAAATGAACAGGAGGCAAAATTAATGTCATGTGCGATTTTCGATGGATTTTCTTTCACCCCTCTTCTTGATTTTCTTGATGGATTATTTGAATTTAAAAGTATTTTCAATTTATATCGAAGGATTCTCAGATGCATTGTCACATGCTAATACAAAATGTTTTGAATTGTACCATCATAACTTCATGCACATCCAACAAATTTATATGTTTATTGTATCTTGTACTGATTTTTTGTATTCTATTTTTTTGAACCAGTCAATTGCTCGACTGTTGAGCCTAGGCATTTTGTTGACACCACAACTTTGATCATATGCAACTTTGTACCAGGTTAGTATAATATTGAATATAATCTTCTTTTGCTTATTGAGTTGCCGTTTTGATGATATAAAATTTTACCAGTCGCGCTTCAAATCTCTGATAGTCTTCTAAATTGTGGTTTAAGTGAAAAGGACCCTTTATATGTAAATTAAGTTGTTGCGATAGTATGCCAAATTTAATAAGTGTATTACGAAAATTAAATGATAGTTCAAATCAAAGAAATTTCAAAATTGGGCATGAAGCCTGATAAATTCTGTCTGATGATGAAAATAGTGTTTCTACTTAAAGTTTTGGGCATTTGTATTAGGGCACTTTGCTCTTGCTTCAACCATAAAAAATGTAGTTCGGTTATATCTCCGGCCAGTCAAGCACACTACATAAATTTAAGATCAAATTTATGTCATTTCATTTTCACTAAATGGTAATCTGTGTGCTATCTTAATATGTAAGTGGTTGAGTGAGTGACACCCACATAAATTAATCATTTGAGGTCACAACATCTTCTTGTGTCAAGCAGGTAGTTTTTGCGCTTTACATTGCTTTGCAATTCTATATGCCGTGTTCCATTGACTACTTTTGTGTCATACTTTAGTTTGTTACCTTCATCTAACATAAGATAAAAATAATTCGGACAGGCAATGAGAAACGTTTTACACACTAGGTACCAGTCTAATCGGTGACAAACATTCGTTCCATTTCACGATCACTTCCTGCCTTCATTCCATCGTATTTATCGTGTACTGTTTTATTTCTGTTTTGGTCGTTAGCTATCACGTTGTTATTATTGTACTGTTGCCTGCTCGTACTCCATATTTCGGTTGGTTGCAATTTTGTTTTTTACATCACATGGTGCTCTTATGAATGCAAATAGCCATTCATATATATATTGCGTATTAGTTTTGAAAATCACAGATATTATAATAATCGTGCTTACGAGTGTTTTGATAATTGTTCTAGTTAATATGCGACAGAAATAGAATGGTATTCAAATAAATCGGTCTAGTTGACGAGCAAACGAGAAAGAGGTTTGATTTTCAAAGCGTAGATTATGGTGAAAGTCCTGTAGCGTAGTAGATGAGATACAAGTCTTTAAATAATTTTTAAGAAGTTCTAAGGATGCGCAACTGAATTAATCGGTTTCGAGTCGACTATAGAATGAAAAATTGAGAAATTCAGATATCTTTTAAATCGTTATATCTATGTCATATATTTAAGCTCGGGTATTTGTTGCGAATATGGGGCAGTCCGTTAGCTAATTATATACGATGTTTAGTTCCGATTAACAATAATGACCGTATTTTATATATATATTTTAAATTGCCATTTCCGCACATGCTATTATCTGCATGAGTTCTAGTCAGACTGATCGACGCGTCAATTATCTTTCACGGGATTTGTACCTGCTACTATTTTTCATGGAAATAGAAAAGATTTTGCGTTATTTGTGGACTACTGATATCAATACCAAAGTATATCGATATATTTTCAGATGCTCTTTAGCCTCGAAATTAGTTCAAAAGATTAAAACGGAGAAACATACTGAATTTGATCATGTGACATACTCACCATTCTGCAAGCTGTGCAGACCGAGAGGAAATAGTCAAGCAGCATCGCTTCCTTCTCTAAATTTTCCCATAAATACTTCGGATATGCAGATGTTGCTAGTTATTAGTCCCACCTGTTGGGTAATTTTGATATCTCCGTTGACAACACAAATGGTAAGTAAAATCGTTCGGAGCACCCATGAGAGACCGAATCGAATATAAGATTGTGCGATACACAACAATCAATGCGCTTCTAGATAGATAAAAGTTTATTCATCAACAAGTCAAACAAAAAACACATATAATAACACTCATTAAGAAAATCATGTGTTTAAACAGTGGAATTGATTAGGAGGTCGGAAGGTCCGTCCATACGGTCACTAAACCAAAACAACTCTCCTGGCATGGATAAGGTTGACGGTTTACATTTTATATTATACCAATAATATATCATGTTGATTTGTTCTAACTAATAATCATGCATCAAGAATAATTTCGTACATATATAAATTTAAACAATAGTGGCAAAAAAGGCGTTTAATTTTATATCACACAAATTAAAAATATATATAAGTTGAAACGTTATGAATCAGTGCTTATTCAGAAAAGAATGGGAATATTTCTTTGAAAAAATAGTTAGTGTCATTTACCGCTTTAATACATGAGCCTTCCCACATCATATAAATATATAGATCTTAATTTCGACTAGTTGTAGTTTGTTAAGAATGGTTTTGTCACAACAACCCCCAAGTTACGATACCATACAGAATACAAGAATGAAATAATGAGTAGTAAATGCAATGTCAAATAGGGCCTAGGTTTGAACATAATCACATTCACTCGTGATAACTTGCTATATATGGTAGTCAATATATTTATTGTTAATAACTATACCAAGATATTTCATGCATGACACTTCAGTTTTTTTCAGCATTTTATCACCAAGAGATAGGAAAGCTTTGCTCATATTTTTTGCGAGAGAGCATATAAGACAATTTGAAGAATATGAGCACAGTGGCGGCTTTTAGCAATACGGGTGTAATCAGCAAACATTCTCGTGTCACTATCAGAAGCATTTTTCGATAATTATCATATATTATAAAAAGTAAAAGACCTAAAATTGAGCCCTGTGGAACTCCGCAAGATATTGGGTGAAATTCCGAAGTTGCAGAATTTAATTTGACATATTGATTTTGCCGAAACAAGTAGCTTGTCAATAATTCTCTGTACTTGATGTTGGTTGAAACCGCTGGAAGGCAATTCCTTTTTTTCGTGAGTTCCATTGGACCCGATGAGTATTTTGCTTGCTGCTTGTTCATATGAGGTGGCAATGTATTTCGGGACATGTAGCTATGTAAAATGGCATGCATATCATTGTAATGTAACCAATAGGCCCCACTTTTGCTTTTGAAATGGAGTGACTTCGTTTTATATATATTATTGATCTGATGACAACAGAGTGAGCGGAACCGGAATACCTCAAAAATACTAACCTTGTACCCCCAAACATAAGAGTAGTGAGAAGTATTGGCATACAGTGTGTCAGCATAAATAGCTCATAAACATGCTCAATCACTTGAAAAGATTACTCAATTGGTTATTTAACTGAGTTCAATGGGTCGCGTCTGAGCTTAGTATAGCCGCTCTATATAATATTTAATTAACAGATTTCCGAAAAAATCTCAATGATTCCAAAAATACAGTAAAATGAAAGAGAAATGCTTAAATATCGCGATGCCATCCAATAGTCCAAAAATAATCGTACAAGAAGTCGTATAGCCTACATGATGTCGTATGAAAGTGCTTATATGAATTCAAATGTTTTTTTTTCTTCTTTCTCCAGTATTTGCTCAAACTTTTATTGCAATTTAGCCTGCTAAATTTTTTTTCTTACGTACGATTTTAAATACCATTTTTTATGTCATTTGTTAGAAGAGCACTTTTAATCGGCCAGTAACTCCCAGGTAGATCACCAAAAAGGCCTTTAAATAGGTTGAGAATCGCTGTGCTAGAGTTTTTCCCCCTCTTTTGCTGGCATATTCCACTACAAATAGCATTGCGATCTATGTACAGCGAAGCTGATACAGAATAAGTTTAATCTACAGGGAGTTGACATGTGGTAGATTTTTTGATTTCCTTCCATTAGGAATTAACGGACTATTAAATAATAGACCACAGATAATCAAAACGGACGGAAGATTGTGGTTTTTCCATTCTGGTGTATTTATTATACCCATTCGGTCAGCTTACAATTTCATATGCCTCAATACTGCAAAGTTTTGTACTGAAAGTTTCTGCTTCAACAACAGGAATAGCTTGAGCAGGTGAATAACAACAATTTGGAAAAACAATTTGATTCATACATCGTGTCCAACAAAGGAGCAATTCTTTACCATATAGACTCAAAGATTATTGTCCACTTACAAAAAGTATTTTTGCTACAACACAAAAATTTCAGAACGATCAATAGGTTATTTCCACGCCCGTCTATAATTATAAGCAGACGTGTTTTTTAATTGCGCTCGAACTCCCATATTGCAAAGCATATTGAATATAATTTCGTTGTTTAAGTGCTGCAATTTGTTGCATAAAATGTGTTAAAAATTTATATTTTTTGCTCTGAAATCTCCTTCACTTATACATTTACACAACATATACAATTTACCAATTTTGGGGGCGTCGCAAAATGACTGTGAAATAGGAACACAGCGAAATAAATCGTGTTAAAACTCCCACGTACGTTAGTGCTAATTACAAGCGGATTATATTGCTTGCGATGTATATTTCAGAAGATGAACGTATTGCCAATCTTCTCTAATTGGAAATGGGGTAAGCATGATAAATCTTCCTTACGTAGTTCTATTCCTCGTCCTATCACGAACGAACATAATTCATTATTAAATTTTAAATACACTTCTCGTAAGAAGAACAAATGTAATTATTCAAAATCTTCCTGAGCGATCGATATGTTCCCCTGACGATTGAACGACCGAGTTCTTCGTCGGTCGATAAAAATCCATTACGTTGGGAAATAGCGAGCGACGTAGTCTTTATTGATCACCATGTTGACTGGAGTCTGAATGCGGCAAGAATTTTCATATTGAATATTATATTGCCTTCCCGGGAATGATTGAATATTGTAATAGGCAGTTGAGTGTACACAACTTAGTTGATAGGTGGTTTGGCGGGCTAGTAGTCATCAGTTAGTTAGACTGCGATAGTTTTGTTTCAAGTAATTAACAGACGGCTTATACACGAATTCGTCTATCGATTGGCAGTACACGAATTGTACTATTGCCCCCATAATATTCATCCTGTCAAATGACAAGTAAATGAACCTCACCAAATCTCCTACTCTTAATGATACGCAAGATTTGTACTGGACCTTTGAGACTTTAGGAAATGTTCTGTGGTTTTTAATTCTTTGTTAATCATTATGCATAATCATAATAGTAGCTTGAATCAGTAGAGGTAGCAGCAGCATAGGTGTTTTTAATTTGTGATTGTACAAAGTATTTGGGATTGAGAGCTTATCTATATATAGATATTTTCGATTGATTGATTTGCATGCATTTTAAGAATTTCTTTTACTTTATGGATCCATTGAGATTATTCAAATTTGACCCTGATTCCGGAACGACGCGATTTATACACAATAGTGGAGTGTAGTAGTTTGGGTAAATAATCAGCAATTGATAAGACTAGCATTTTGTATTTTGAGGTCAAAAATCTTCCCTATGATTTTGATTGTAATCGCTAATATGAGCATGAGTATAATAACAAATTATTCCGCCAAACGAAAATATATATATTGAAGTTCTCTACTTAATTGTGATTAATTAGACGCGAGTCTAAGAACAGTGTTTCACAAAACAAGAAATCAGCTCAAATTAGCAAAGGTCATGACAATGATTTTTGTTACGAAATGATATTTTGCAAGGTTTGACTACTCTTCAATTACATAGTAATACGCTTATGAAATGATTCTTGAGCGTGATCTGTCGTTAAAATCTTCTGTTGCGACGGGACGAACTTTACCTAACAACAATTATACAATTTTACAACAACAATTCCGTTCAAACCTGTTGATATTCCCATTAATTCATTCGTATTCGCAAACCATTCATTTGTATTCCTCCATAAAGTGTTATTCAGTGTATTTATTAACTATTTACCGAGATTCAGTTTTGACAAAAAACTACTACAATGTCAATGAGTCGAAGAGCTTCCACTGTTGGCGGAGGAGTCCAGATGTCAGCCAAACTGGCTGCCCTTCGTGGAGAATCTGTGGAAGGATCTTCCATGATAGACTCACAAATGGGTGGAATGTGTAATGTTAACCAGGATACAACCAAAGCAAAAAGTAAAACAAAACAACCCGACAGATTCATGACTAAGACTGGACATTGCAATATTAGAAGAGTAAGTTGAAGTACATGTGTTACTTGAGGTATTATACATCTAAATCTTTGTTAATTAATTGAATTAAGTGTGGCATTTCATTTTTCACGAACAGGTAAAATAGGTATTGAGAACTTAGGTAACCTTGATTATAATTGCATTTTCCAATTTCCTTAGCTTTAGAATTTTATTTCATTATCTCCAAGAATCTGTAAAAAAGAATAGGAATTTATTTAAAAAACTATTCAGAAAATCAGCATATAAGAATATAAATAATGTATTTTTTAGTCTGCTATTCAAATGGGAAGAATGTATGTCACGGATATATTCACAACTTTGATTGATTTGAGATGGAAATACAATATTATCATATTTGTTCTCGTTTATACTGCTGGATGGTCGTTGTTCGGATTTTTTTGGTGGTTTGTAGCATTTATCAGGTAAGCCAGGAATAAAGATTTTCATCAGCTTTTTTTTTCATTAAACTCTCAAGAGAATTTGGATTTGGCTATATCGACTGCACCAAACAATCAGCACCTTTTAGTACCAGCCTACATACAAATTGGATCAAGTCGATTGATTTTTTCTCAGGGATGATGAGTAAAATGCTCAAAATGGGTATAACTATAGACCTTCGCACTCAAGAGCAAATATCAAATTTTTATTCAATTTTATATTTTCACGTTTTTGAATCTCTCTTACAGGTATGAGATGATAATAAATTCATGTGCTCTAATCGAAATCGCTATATTTTCAAAAAGGACAACAATTATGGTACCAGTTGAAAAATTGCCTTTTCCCCATGCACTCTTCTCGACGTCGATTGGAAATTCTTTTCTGATTAATATTTTTGATTTTTAGGGGAGATGTGACTGCTCACGCCATGAATGATACTGATCACAACCCATGTGTTGAAAAGGTTTATTCGTATGCGACAGCTTTCTTGTTTTTTATTGAGACCGAAACAACCATTGGATACGGCAAGCGAGCAATCACTGATCAATGTCCGGAAGCCATACTTTTATTTGTTATACAGGTAGGCTGAGATGTTAATTCTGACATGTGGGTCTGTGTTATGGGCAGCTTGAACGCGTCTTAGAATCTGTTCAAAGCGTCGCCTGTTTCGATGACAACAAAGCAAACGAAGTATGCCGTTGAGAAAATAGCAGTAAAATTGATCGAAATACCCCTGTTAGATGAATCACAAAATTCTCTTATTATCATTTTTAATAATTGTCGATTTATGTCGAAAATTGACAATTTACAATTCGATCGTTGTATTCAGTATTAGGTGCAGTTTATTCTTCCAAAATCGTAAATGCATAATCAGTTAGTTTATTTTGAGTTGAGCATGCCTCCATTAATCCACAAATCTTGGAATGAAATACTGCACTGAAATAAAACTGGTTCAATCACACGAACCAGACACACGTTTACTAAATTAGCCAATAATTGCAATCATATTCTGGGTGTCATATTTTCAATATTTAGTCTCTACTTGTATTTCATTAAAGCTACAATTCCATGGTTAGTTGCAGAAACTTGCATCTCAGGCACGTGATTCGGAACTCGTTTAAAATCGTACCTTAGGCTACATATTTTGGTTTTTCGTTTGATTATAGCTAAACACACTTATCATTCAAATTTCAGGCTCTAATCGGAAGCATCGTGGATGCATTTATGGTTGGTTGCATATTCATCAAGTTATCTCAACCGAAAAATCGAGCAGAAACCTTGGTTTTTAGTGATCAATGTGTCCTGACTCTCCGAGATGGAAAGTATTGTCTGATGTTCAGGTTAGGAAAACTTGATGAAATTTTTTTTTCAACAATATTTATTCATAATTGCGCCCAACAGATTAAAATGTTTCGTTTTCAATGAGGATCGAGGCACATTTAAAATTTGGTACTCCCGTAGTATGTGAACTAAGATGGCGAACACCGTAACGTAGTATATGTACCAGGTTGGGGTTAGGCAATAAATACAGGTACAAATATACGATAGGCACTTGGCTAGTCCCCGAACTTGTAATAGAACTAAAATTGGAATAAAATTATGGTCTAACCCTAACCTGGTACACATACTACGTTCCGGTGTCCGCTATCTTGGTTCGCATACTACAGGACTACCTAAAATTGTTCTAGAACAGTGGTTCTCAAACATTTTAACCATTTAATCCAACTTAAAAATAACTAGCTAACAATAAGCTACAAATAACAGATAATAAGGCGCGAAAGTATGTTTTATTCAAAAAACACGTTGAAAATACCTCTACATAGTAAATAAATCTATAAAATAAAGAAATGTAAATATTCGAAATAAGGCGGGCAAGAGCAAATCTAACAAATATTTTTACTTTTAGCTTTACGTCACCTCAAAAAATTTTTCTACGCTCCATTATGGGGTGCGCACCACCGTTTGAGAACTACTGTTTCACAAAAATGGATGCAATGGCTATGGCTCACCGGTACCTTGTAATTAAATTTGCGGTTTTTACGTGAGAGTCGTTCTGAAAAGCACTGTATGCACAATAACGAATCATCGATTCGTCGCTATCATAATTGCGTCAACGGTCGGCTTCATTTTTGCCATAAATGTATATTTGGAATTTTTGTACTGGCCCGAGAGTTTTATCCATTTTTATTTTAGAGTTGCAAATCTTCGAAATTCCCTTCTTATCCAGTGTAAAATTCGAGCAAAATTGGTGAAATCAACAAGAACTCTCGAAGGTGAATTCATTGGATTACATCAGGATGACATTAACGTCGGCTTTGATACAGGTATTGGTATTCAGCTTAATCTTATATAACTGTACACTCTGGCATAAAAATCGAAATGGAAAATATTCAACACCAACGCTTATTTCATTGCGCTACGGAAAAATATCTTTTGCGTTTAAGTGTTCTTAATACTCAATGGAGGCGATATTTTCTAGCATTTATGGGAGTTTTCTGCAGCTAACCCCACATTCTTACACAAATTTATTGTTTAACCAGGAAAATGTATAAATTGTTTCCGCTGTTAGTTTTTAAAATATTTTAAACTTGTGAGTTAATATGTCAGCCCCAGTATTCAACACGCCATCATAGCGGAACGCATCTTCTATATTTATTTATTTAAATAAGTATTCTTAGAATAAGTATCCTTAAGCAAACAAGAAATCTCCAACAACAGCGAAGTGAACATACTTGGAATTTCATTATTTGTGGATGGCGGAATTATACAGATTCCATATAATGTACAATATTTTAATACCTCGTTCTTGGAATGTTCATAAATAATAGATGACATTTCCAGAATTAGGCCATGCGCAAAAATTCATCAATTCGCCGTCACCTGAAGCACGGACATTGCTTACTCGCTAGTCGTAACCATATATTGCTCGACAGTGTGATTGAAGTATTGAACCGGCTGTATATGTTGGAACTATTTATTGAGTCGGATGTTGGACTCGCAGCATTTATCCAAACAAATGCAAATGAGCCAGAATCCATCTATCGACTTCTGTTTTTGTCTTATTCAAAAGCAAAACATTACAATAACAATTACAATAACACTTACAATTAAATGAATTAATGGATATATTTACAAATTAAATCTCGGAAGTTTCACCTTAAAAAGTGTTGGATTTGCTGGTTTAGTGCCACACACTTATGAAGTTTGGAACTCAAACATAAACTTAAAGCCCTATATTCCATTCATTCATTTTTCTGAAAGCAAGGTCAAAAGCACTCAACTACAAAATAAAATGATTATTCACATGATTGCTGCTACTCGGATAACACGAATTAGATACACACATCCAAGTATTTGGGGTTCGGCATATTGACATGTTGGCGTAATTAGTTTAAGAGAGCTATTTTAATACATGGACCATTTACCAATCTTTTTATATATAATATTTTTCATTGTTTAGTAGTAGCGTTAATTTTAAAGACCTAAAGAAATACGTTATATGAGGTTGTGGTTATGCGCATTATTCACATGGCAAACGTTTTAAAGATTTACCTCGTGCTTATTCAGTATGTGGGCCATGGGAATTTCTTTATTCCTGTGTAGCCATTTCACCGTTTTACAGTGGGTGGCAGTGATGAGCTATCTGAATTTTTTCTTTCTTGTGTAGATCTACTGAAACACTAACTGCTACACTGAAGATAACATTTATTATCTAACCCTCAATTTTAAACGGATTTGACAAATTCGCGGGTCCGTTCAAGTTCGTGCTGTTGAGTTATTGGGCGAATAACACCAACGCTCAGCCTATATTGCCGGTGGGGCTTGCAATTGTGCGCTGAAAAAAAAGTTTAAAACTCAATAATGGAAAACAAGTAAAAATTTACTATAATGAACACGACAATGTTAATGATGAAGTTGGAGTTTCTTTTGGATATCTCTTACCTTTCATTCTTATTTTCAGACAACTTTTTCGCTTGCAGATATGTTTTTAATGTTTTGTGATCATTAGCAGTATTAATCCGTAACAATAATGAAGATAAATCTTGACCTCTTGACTTATTATTTCATAATGCAGGAGCTGACAATCTATTTCTGGTGACACCACTCATTATATGTCACGAGATTGACTATCGAAGTCCGTTTTACAACATGAACGCAGAAGCTCTTGTGAACGACAAATTCGAGATTATTGTTATATTGGAGGGGATGATTGAGAGCACAGGTCACTAAAGTCAATATTAATAATTCTTTTTCTTGTATATCTTTTATCTTGTCAAATTACGGACTAATTAGGAGTTTCATGATCATTTGTGTCATATTTGTTTTATAATTTTGTTCAAATTATATTTTTGTCTTGAACTTAACCACAATGCAATACACTTATAGAAGGAATATTGCCCTGAATAAAGCTAGACATATTTATACCACACGATGTAATTAAATTACACGTGTGTTTAATTAATATTTATTTTTAATCACCAATATTGCAATTTCAAGATGACATGCAGTTTTTGTTGCAAAATTGGGGGAGCGAAATATCAAACTGCGTCAGATTTTGATTTTAACACTTAGAGTAGGCAGCCTAAGCTATTATTTCTTGTTCTAATAGAAAGTGCAGAAATGTTTACATATTATGATCCGTAACTTGTTTTTCAAAGCTATCAGATAAAATGATCTAAGTTTTCATTACAACGGAAGGAACTTTTGAAGACTGAGTAATCGAAAGACGAGAATTGACGATTGTTTATTCTTGTGATGTGTAATTGATACATTTTTTCTTGATATTTCAGGAATGATTTGCCAGGCTAGAACTTCATACCTGAACACGGAAGTACTTTGGGGTCACCGGTTTATGCCCGTTCTATTCCACGCTCGTGATCATTTCAGTGTAGATCATTCGGAGTTTCACACAACATTTGAGGTTAGTGAACAAAATAAGCTATAGGTACCTGACATAAAGATGGCTTATCTTTGAATAAAAAAAAGTATCAATTGTTATATTGTGTTGAGATATTTCAAAGTATTTGGGGTACTTGATATCTGATTTGATACGATAAATGTAGCAAATGTTGTTCATTTCAGTGCGAATAATATCGTCTAGCAAATTTAGTCATCAATTTTCGGGATATATTTGAAGTTTGCAAAACGCATCATTTTAAAACATTTTAATTTGCCGCTAACACAGATACATAAATTTGCGAGACAGCGTCAATACTAACTTTTATGTATAATACAATTTCCTCTCCGTCAATTGTCTCACCAAATTATAACTATTGATTCACTGTAATCACGCCTACTCTTTCGACCTATTATTTTTATCTTGGAAATTTCATCCGAAAATTGGATATGTGGCACTCAGTCAGCATTCATGAAATTCAATTCTTTCGAACTTCAAAAATATTATGAGAATATACATTCAATGAACATATATTTATACGATAAAATCAAACATAATCCTAAAATCCAGAATTAGATCGAATTTACACGGAAAAGTTAAACACATTTATCAGTAAAAAACTTATTGTCATTTTTCTAGGTTCCAATGTCAAAATTGAGTATGAAGAAATACCAGGAATCACATTCGAACGGAAATTCGAACAAGAATTCAAAAGCATTGTATTCGACCGGATCAGCATGATATTTTTTTTTAAAATTATGGATGTTCCTTTGCCTTCAGTTTTATTTGTTTGCTGTATATATATGTGTGTTTTGATTTTCAAATAATATATGTGAAAAAATATTTGTGCAGTGTATCATGGATACCGATATTTTTAAGTGTGATTATTGTTGTCGACAGTTACAGTATAATGTAGAAGTGTTCTAAATCTAGAAAGTGCGCTACGTCAGATACAAAGCTAATTTTAACATTAGGAGTATGGTGGATATTCATGGATTCGGTTACATCTTCGAAACCCATTATGTGACTTTTGCTTTATGAAATAGGTTTATTAAAATCTATATATGAATCCTCAAAAAATGTGGGTCACATCTGACGACGCCATTTTCCAAGAACATACACCACACATATTTGAACACACATAAGAATACCGAAACCAAAGTTACAGTGATGTTAGCAAACACTCGGTAAAAAGAACTGACCTAAGAATATATCACTCTTCACTTGTAGGTGGAACTTATACCAATCAATACATATAATTGTCTTCTCGGGCTGCTAATTATTATTATTGATTTTCATAATTGGATGTCACTCCTTTATCGAATTGACTCATTTTGCTGGCTGATTGACTGTCCCGTGTACAATATATTTAACGAATACCTATGGGATTATTTGGAAGAACACCGCGGTCGTTGGGCTTATTTGTTTGGATCACGTTGTAAAAATCACGAAATTTGTAATATGAATGTCAAATTTTAGGGAGAAGGCTTATTCTACGTTTAAAACTTGGTCGGCGTCGATATTTCCATTCATAAGCGTTATTTTTCATTTATGTCCATATTTTTAAATCATTAGTCATCTTCGATTTATTTATTAACTGATATCACATTCTGAAATTGAGTCTCAAAATGTCTATCCGATGCCCGTAGTGGCTAAATGGGCGATATTGACAAATCACTCTCAACTCTCGAGGACGCCAAGCTATTAGGCTTAATTGAGAGCTGTTTCACAAATGTGTTTCTACCCCCCAGACTGGGTGAGTTTGAGAGCTTTACATCGATTTTATTTATGATAAAACTCGTTAAAAATAAAATCAATGACTGTCAAGGTTACTAGTCTAAGTTTTAATGACTTCATTCTTTGTCGATCTGTTGCCATTGCTAAGTTATTACACACACCAATCCGTGGTGTACGTAAATTCCCAATGGATCAGTAATTTTTGTCTCGGGGAAGATTACATTTGCATTGTTACGCCATGCGTAATAGGGGCGCTGAAAGACAGATGATGTGGTTGATAATAATAAAAAAATCGTCGAATAAATAATTCACTTTTATATGCGTAATGGGAGTTGGTCAACAAAAGTACTCTGACGACTCTAAAGTCTCTTCATCAAAAGCCAAGTGAATCAGATTCAATCAAAAAAAAAAACTAAAAAAAAAGATTCAACGCGCAAAGCTGGGTATGATATGCATTACGACACAGTTCAAAGACGGTAAATTTTAATTTACAAATCAAAAGCCCGGAACAAAATTTTGATTGATTCAAATAGATAAAGCATCTTATTCTGAACGTTCCGAAACCACTCGTTATCGACGGAAGTATCAAATTAGTCTAACCATGTCACATTATATATTCATCGGTTTCCTTAAAAATTATTTACTTTCCTATATATATTGATAATCGCTTTCCACGAAGTTGTTTTGATAAAATCAGAAACCATAAAGGATTCTAGATTCTTCCGAATTGCGCATTTTAGCAACATTTCAGTTTTGAGGATTCATCGATGATAGAACCACAGATATGTTTATTTATTTCCATGCAATGACGAAATATTTTTATCTTAGAAGAAGATCTTATCTTACGACAAACACGCTAATGACGTCACTGGAGATATCGTATTTTGACCCGCGAGTCGCCAAGCGGCTGGTATTAGATTATTTTGGTTGATATGTGCAATACCTATGATTACATGGTAATTGCATATTTCTTGAGTAGTATAAAGTTAAAATTACATCTAGTGGCTTCATTCGATGCTATAGAAACACTATACAGATCTAACTTACTCTTCATAATAAAGAGTTTGACCAAAGAAGTAATATCGTTATTTTAAAACGAACACTCCACAATAAAGAAATACATAGCAATTGAAACAATATTAAGTGATCAAGACAAGAATGACGGACGCTCAAAATTTAGGCGATGCAATTGACAACCTTCTGAAGGCATTGAAGAGTCATTCACAATAACGCTTTGTTTATTTCCTAACCAAACATAGAAATCTATGAGGTAACCAATTTGCTGTTTGCTATATATCAAAGCCAATATATATCAACAGATTGGAATTGGACGTTATATGTGCTCAAAATGATCAGTTTTTCACAATTTCAATATATTTAAGAATTTTCTTTAAAATTGACTTTCATGGACGTTTCAAACCAAAATCATATTTCGGATTATTGAAAATATAATCCTGACGTTGGTATTTAGGTAATTTAAAACTGCATAATGTAATATCTTCCTTCGATTATACAGCATACATTTATTGTCACATATCTATAATGTAATATATTCACAAATGTTAGGAAAGCTTTAGGGCACGTGCCATTAACGCATAAGAATGAGATGATTTCATTTCAGTAAAGACCAACTAATTTTGGGAACAAAATAGTCTATTTTGGGCTCAAAAACGGGCATTGTGTACAAAAATTCCGTCGGCATCCGAATTACTAGTCTCAAGTTAACTTCTGCATACTTTTAATCCTGCATATTCACCCTAAATTATAAAAATACCACGCACACTGAAAAATATTATCGCTATGTATAGTTGAAATTACCTCCATTTTTAAAAACGAGTCAATTTTTTGCTATATGTAAACCTAGGTTGCCTGCACTACACATCACCTCCCGCATTTACTCTCCGTGACTGTTGCATATTGGTAAATGAACGAGTAGATACAACACGTACTTGAAAAAAGTAATCGCGTTGTCATCAGGTGGGTTCATATTCACGAAAGAAAATGCGCAACCAGTGTTAGCCACACTATGCAATGAGTAGAATCAAGGAACAATTAATTAATTATTGATTTGTGTCTCATGATTCAAAACGTCCGCAAACTACATCGTTTTCTGTGGGAGTGTATTATATCTTCAACATATAAACCATATTTGGTGTAAAACGTAAACTAAAATTAACATTTGTATAGACGCACGATTCTCCTATATATAACCATTTGATTACACGATAAGTTCATAATGAATGCATCGGCCCACCCATTTTTTCAATATCATAAGTTGTTGTCCGAACGGGATTAATTTTGTCAACCGAATAAAATTGGCTGAAATTTTTCAGAAAAATTGTTGTTGTCATCGTGAATACCAGGCATGTACTTTCACCGCGGTCACGATCAAACGCATCATTGAGTTCCCAGCAGATGTTTTGAGAATACTATGAAAAAATTCATCTAGTTTACGATAATTCAAACAATATAATACAAAGTTATCTTGTGGTTTACTAAATTCTGATTTGTTCAAGTACGGGTTATTACTTGATATTCGCATTCGCTATAACATTGAATATAATACTGATATAATTTTGAAATGAATGTATTGCTAGTAGTTCTGCTTGACAGATGACTGCATTCAAGAGCCTGCGGCAGTCGCTATGTCAGTATTATTATGTCGAATTACCATTACATACCATTATAAACATTCACTCGTGCAACAACAAATTTACAATAATTCAGCCTGAAAAAATTATGGGGAGTGGGGTATTCGGGACGTAAGACAGATTGAAGACGGTGGGAACAAGAAAGTAGCTCAACTTTCTATTGAGTGATAACATAGGGGTAATTATTTCTAGCGATTTTTTTTGTCTTCAGCGACGTTAAGATATATGGCCTAATTCATTAACAAGATATATAAGTTTATCATTCAAATATAACTGCACGACATATCTCATAGGATACAAATCAGTGGATTTATCATCCTGGGAAAATCTGGCGGACGATTAGCATAGCTGCTGAACGAGTTTAGTGATGGTATTGGCATTAGCTGATTATCATGCATTAAATGGTACAACAGATTTATTTCGCCCCCAAGGCTGCAACGCCTATGAACTTTCCTTTTATCAAAACCCTGGCACGCACTTCTTCTGAAACTGATAATCGACTGAAAGTTTATTTTCAGAAATGACAAACGAGTTGTAAACATTGAAGCGCGGGAATAAGACCACAACAAACCACAATAAACACGCAATTACACAATTAATCCATTTCATCAACCAATCACGTAATTTACGCCTTGTATTTGTTGACAGTTTACCGTAGATGACAGTGCATAATACCGCAAGCAGGAGTGAGGCTGACGAATCTACATATTCGCCCAACTTGTTTAACTATACATAAATACCTCGAAGCAAAAGTCAGAGGTTCAAAATCCGCAAAGCGGATCAACTCATGTAGACATATAATCACGACTACAGCAAGCTTTTTATTTTTAGTTCGGGATTGATTCAAACCACAGAAAAGGTCGTACGTATATTACGGCAGTGTGATAAGAATTGTTTGTTTCCATTAAATGATTTATTAGTATTGGTTCGATAGTGAAATTTCATCGACTTTCCATTTCTATATTCCCTCGATCACTAAAATCCAACGCAATATTTTTCACCGTGTGATACATGCATTTGAGCTGTTAGGCCAAACATAAATTCCATGCTTATGACTTAGTTTTTTTTAAATTTAACAAACGCACTCTGAGTCAAGAAGTGTTTGCAAAATGGAGTGATTCAGTCTTGTTTTTCCAGTCCAAATAAATATGTTTTCACCAAGAAGTATACGTTATAGTGGGTTTATCGTAGATATTTTTCAATCAGAAAAACCTGTGCAAATACGTAACGACAATGTGTCACAGGTTTTGGTTATGTACACTTGTTTATCAAAAGTAGGTGAGGTCGGAAATATTGGTTGCAAAGTGAAATCAATCGTGCGAAATATAGTTGCGAAATTACGCATTTTTTGCTAAATGATATATATCTATAAGTTAATAATACGATATGACAACCCAAACAAGCGATTTCCAGTTCTCTAGGTTTTCAAGAAATTATCTAATCATGAATTCAGCTCATTATTTCCAAAAAAGCCAGAATTGCGTGTTTATTTTTCATAATATTTAATTTCAATAAATTGCATAAAAGTAAAAAGAAATAAATTATTTTATGAATAAGTTAAAACATTTAAAAAACGAGAATAAATACTAAAAAAGGCAAATATAATGCGTAACATAAAGAAGCAGTGAATTGAAGAAACGACGCAATACAGTAACCACAGGCAAAACGATAATACCGTTAAAATTGAGTAAACAAAACTAATAACATGAATTTAGGCGTACCTCAGAACCACAGCAAGCTGGTTTGAAACAATATACCTGCTGCCTTTAATCGTAAAATTAAATTCGTAAAATTAAAAAAGAAGTTCATAGATTGATACCTCGTACGTTCTGCAGAAAATTATGCACATATCAATGAAAAAGTAGCATAGCATGGCAAACATAGTTGGAAAATAGGTCAAAAAGTCGTTCCCCGGTATCGTGAACATGTTTTTTATGAACATTCTGTTTCGATGATCGTGATGAACTTGTCATAATGTCAGAATACTTCAATTTTCATTGAGTGAAATGAACGAAAATTTAGCAGGCTTGTCAGCGCAGTTGAATAAACGAACTTGAACTCCCATGTCTTCGTGATGATATTCGACCCGAAAGTTTTGCAGAATACCTCGAATCAGCAAATCAAACTCTTGTTCAGCAATTCTGCGACCAGGACATTGTCTTGCACCATGACCAAATGGCGTGAATACAAACTGCTTCTTACATCTGTTGGGAAGATAATTAATAATTAAATTATTCATATTAGGAGTGATATTTATTTTAGAATGTTAAGTTAATAGTATACGAATTCGGATTTTTTTTTATTCTTTACCGCGATTTTACTTTAATTGTGTACATTCCAAAACATTCTTTTTACATAATAAGATAAACTTTGCCTTGAAGAATCAATGTAACAATAGTCGTAAAAAATATCTATCTTACCTCTCAGATGATGCTCGATCAGCCCAACGATCTGGAATGTATTCTTCCGCTTTTGGAAAATAGTCCTCAGTCTTCAGATGCATGAGATGTGGCGTATATCGAACAGTTGTGCCAGATGGTATTTGATACCCTGAGAGGACAATATCCCGATTTGTTTTACGCATGTTGACGTAGGTTAACGGATGAAGACGCAACGCTTCTACAACACAAGCTCTCAAGTACCTTGCGCTTTTTGTATTTGTACCGGAAAGTCCATTCTTCTCATCTTCAAAGATGAGCTGTCGAAGTTTTTCTTGACAATTTTTGTTTCGGGAAAGTTCATAAAGTGTGAACGTTACAGCATTTGAACTGGTGTCGATTCCTCCGGCCAACAGTTCAAGACATAATGTTAAAGATTCGTCGCGTTTTAAGTCAGATTTTTCCAGTAAATGCTCCAAGAAACTAAGAGCCTTTGAAGGATTGGAAGATGTCGTAGATGTCGATTGACAATTTTTTGAGCTTTCTATTTCTTTTAGTTTCCTGAAATTACACAACGTATGATAATTATGAACAAAAAAAATTTAAATTAAAATGGATTAATTGTAAAAAAATTGGTTTACGGGACACGCTACACAGACAGTTTAATAACTAAACCTAGATTTCACAACGTACATCGTTGAAGACGATTTAAATAAAAAAAAAACTTCACTTACTTATCTACATAATGGCCTGCAGCTTCAAATTCATCTTTTTGGGACTGACAAAAAATCTTCCAATCTCTTGTTTTCCACAATTTCCATACAGGGGCGCTGAATGTTAATCTGGCACCGTAATCAAAAAATATATCCATGGCTTTTCGTAATCTCTCTGCCACTGGATCAGCTTTCTTTTCCCCGTCTTTGGTTATCAATCCGAGCCTGGATAGAGTGTGAGTCAGTGTTAAATACAATATTGTTATTGAAATTGCTTTCTGGGATATGAGTCATCTACGAAATGATACTGGATTTTCGCAAGATTTCGGTTTCAAAAGCTTATCGAATGTTTGTTTGTGCTATCATATTCAAAATATGCATAGTTTGCTTTGGTTCTTAGAATCTCAGCTTCGCGCATAAATCACCCGTTTTGAAATTCGCGAATCGATTCCCTCCTTAAACGTTTCGTAATACGACTTTAAGTCTGAACATGCAATGCTGCATGTTGAAATTACAATATTTCTAAGATGATGTAACTGGAAATCTCCCTTTTGCAACCATTTATTCGATATACTTAACAAATATAATACAATAGATAATATTTCCTATATACCTTGTATCAAGCAAGATCACTGCCACTGATTCGAGCGCCCATCTATTCAACCAAACTTCAAAATCTTTTATTTCTCCTGTTTTTGTCGATTTTTCTGTTTGTATGAAGTCGATGAAATCATCAGCAACTTTTTTTTGGGCGGGTAAATATGTTCGGACAATATTTGGTCTCATGACAGCCGAGTTTACTGCTCCTCGAAGTTTACCCCATTCCTCTCCTGTCAATAAATTTTATATTGAAATTTTCGTTTTATTCACCAAACAAGTGATGTAAAATTTTGAGTTTCACAATGACAGTATTTTACCTTGTAGAGCGGTAATTCCGACCGGATAACCACCTTGTTTTCTGCTTTCAACGATGGCGTCTATGTGTGGACGACATGGTGCCGCACCTTCATTGTGTATTAAAACTTCTACATCGCTTGGATCTGAGATATAAACAAACTCTTCCGACAAGAACTTCTCTCGAAAAATTTTTCCAAATCTAAAAACAAGAAATACACCTAATTTCGCATTGTAAATGGAGTGGATCTATCTTGCTTTCGTGTACCATTCCTGGTGGCATAAGCGTTTAATGAAAAAGAATAAAAATAAAATACAACTAAACTTACTTTGAATGACGAGAAAGAAGAGCCTTGTGAAACTGTCGCGGTGAAAATGGTCCCAGAAAGGTGTAATCGAGAACGGACCCAAGCAACGGTAAACCGCGCGGGCCAGGTATGTCAGAATACGCTCTCGTGTTTGATGACACCGTCGTGCCGTAGTCAGTTTTGCTAAAGTTTTTGAGAAAATTTAGGAGCCGTTTTCTCCCATTTCTCTTCGTGTCGTGATATGTTGTTATAAGTTGTTTCATGGAAGTGACAATTGTCTCGGACGAAGAGTCTGCCGGCTGCGAGATCACATCTCCGCGACTGTTTACATGTTGTGCTGCGGATAAGTCGTGTTCGCCATAAGCAGCACGTTTCTGACCAAATACGGCGTGAAATGGACACCTCGACACATTTTCTGTAGACAATGTAGCTGCTTGACTAGATCTCCTCCTGTTTTGAACGTCTACGCGTGAATCGTCAGTCTTTACCGCTACATTTCCTTGACTTTTTACTGCCATTTTAAAATGGGTTTCGGGATGAAACTTCCTTACCGGCGTCGCTTGTTGCAGTACACTTTTACCCAGGTATGGTTCTCCCCACGCAGTAGCTAATGTTAAACTTTGCCGTCTCTTCCCTGTTGATATCATTCTATCTTGTCGTTCGCTGCCATATTTTGATCGCAAATTTTTTGTTGCAGACATGTAATTTTCTCTTTTACCATGGGCGAATAATCGCTTCTGGCATGATGTCAGACATCGAGACATAATCGCCGTGAATCGTTGATGACGACGATAATAAAATTATTACGATTAGTACAAGAATCAAGTTTGTCATACAAGTCATCGACTGTAAATAGTCTGACTGTACCATATTCTTCGCTTTATATAGTTACGATTTTCGGGAAAAAAGGGAACATGAGATATATCACAAATAAATATATGTTGTCTGGATATATATCATATTTTTTTTATAATTTCGAGCGTTCGGCGACATTGCCGAAAAAATTCAGCAAAATTTAAGTCGATTTTTATGTTACAGCTTTTTATAATCGAAACTAAAAACTGAATATAACGGCGTGCAAAATAACAACACACTAGATGTGCATGTTTTGCTCAAATCGTGTTTGACTGGACGTGGATCCGAGGTTATACCTATATATATATCCTTGATTTTCAAACTTTGACTTTGGATATAAAAATGCTTCAAAAGAGCATGAATAATCTGCTAATGTCACGCTTGCTTTAAGCATTGTTTTTATTTTTATTCAAAATTGCCCCCAAAATTTAAATATCTAACAAAGCTACGTGTTGACAACGTAAGATCGATGAAAACGACTTCTAAACTTGTAAAGAGATACGTTTCATAAACTACTTAGGCATTTAATGGCATAAATTATTTGGCTGGATTTTTATTTACATTTTATGAACGTGCAATTAATTATAAGTTGAACAACCTGAAACGTTTTGATGGGGAAATTAGTATATAATGTTCATACCTCAAAGATGATAGCATAAACATCAGATTGGACTAGAATTTAGAATTTTACTGGTCGATTTCTGACTTCAAAATATAATTCAATGAATGAATTTAAACGAGGTCATGAATATATTCATTTGATTTAATGGTATTCCTAAATCGCACAAGATCATAAGGGTTGTCTTGTGCAAATAGCTATTACAAGAAAAGGCTTGATGTCGATATTGGTGTAGGTTATTGATAACCACTGTCAAATCATAGATGAAATAGCAAGCTAGGTATTCCTCAAAAGCCATTCAGATCCATCGATTTCTTTTTATTACGATGCGGTTGCACTTTAACATTCCATTTTGTGTTGTCATTCTGTTGATAACTCTTGTTTCGGTATCACAGAGAGTCCTGTAGTATTCCGGTTGGTTGTATATTGGGAGTTAATTTTCATTTAAAATCAAATTTAAATTTGAGTTGATTCAAACAAATTTTGCTGAAGAAATGATTTCATTTTGTTACAATTTGGTTTGAAAAATAGATATTAAATAGTACTTCATTGACAAAATCTAACTGTATGATTCCTAAGAGGAATATGTCAAGTAATCCGCAAGCACGTTCTCAAATATTTATTTGAACTTTATCATCAGAGCGTTACAATTCAAATATCACAATAGTAGTCTAAATATTGCAATTTTGGGTTACTGAGTTCTAAGAAAATTCGTGACAAACAGAAATATAGTTACACTGACATATATGTAAGATTTATTAATATTTATTTGTATTTGAAGAATTTTAATATTCGTTAAGCAAATATATTGACAGACAAAACACAGCTAAAATATTCTTCACAATTTCACCCTAAAATTGTAAAATTTGTTCAAAACAAATTATAGGAGGTAGCGAACCATGATAATATGTTAATAATAAGTTTTGGTAGCTAGTATTATCCAGATTTGAATACTCTATTGGGTTTACCATGGGATTATTGACTGCGTTATTGGGGAACTTGACAAAACGTAAATACCAGAATGTTCATTGGTTACTTGCAAGTATTCTTTCAAACTGTACATTGTAAAGTCGCGAAAATGATCACTGCATGTGCTCTTCAATAACATGTTGATGTAATGAATGTTACAACAAATCAAATATCTGCACCGTTCATTATATCAAACGTTGAGACAGATTGCGTATAAAGAGACCAAATATCCAATTTAATCGTACTTTATTAATACCATTTTAAATAAATAAAAGTGTTGTTTTCAGATGTATTTCTGCGCAACGTAACATAATCGTAACATAATCTTGTGTGGTTTATTACAATTGAAGTTTTCTTTTGTTATCAGATAATTTGCATAAACCCAGTTTAATATACTACATTTATCATTTTTTTCTGAGAACTTCTAGAATTTCATGTTTGTGTCAGCACGAGCATGGGTTAAAAAGTCTCAAATATCAGAGGTAACAAACACAGCGCCACGCTAATAACCAAATTGAGTAAGTCATATTTAGCAATTTTGAGAAAAACGTAAAAAAAACTCCTGATGATATTGTTGTGCCATTTAGGGAAAATAATTTCCCATGGTTCATTTTTTTGATCGTATCTGGATTTTAAATTAATTTCTATGATGTACGCACATGACATCATAATGGTGCACTGTGACTTACGCAGAAATGTGCCTATGACTTGGGGACATACGCAATTTTGCAACTTGGCTATATCCATCCATCTCGAAAACCAAACATTCGAATAACGTATGTAATTTACATTATCTACGATGTCTAATCCTCAAAACAGCTTAGCTGTTTTAATAACATTATTTTTCCATGTTTGGAATGAATATTTCATCAATATATCGCGCTCTGCACATCCACCGAAAATAAAATTTCCATAAATATTGAATATAAAGAAAAAAAAGGCGATGAATCTTTAAATAAAAGCCAACTAATATGAATGGGACTCACAAGTGCCCACTTTTCTATGCTGTAGTGTTAATTCAAATTTATAAACACTAAGCTACAATCTATGATGCAAAAACTCGAAAAATATTTTGCCGATATTAGTTTGGCTTTGTGACGTCACAATGGTCTCGTGGAATTTATTATGACGGAACAATTGCAATAATGTGCACGTCACATAAATCTTCATTTCTATGCGTTTCCTTGGAATAAAATCTGAATTAACTGACATGTGCGCAACATTACATAAACAACAATTGTATATAAAACTCGAAACCGCCAAAAAGTGACTTACGCAATACGGCTGACGCACAGGTCGATTAGTCGAGGAATTGCTACGTCTGAAGAAAAAGTTTGGCTCTTTTAAAGGATAAAGTTATTATATTGAAAATAGTAAAATCAGAATATACATTATTTTATCAACCTTCAATTTCCTTTATTTAAAAGCAACATCTTAAGAGCGATGCTCCAAATGTGGACTAAAGTATAAGACTATAGACTATAGTGAACTAATCAATACAGTTTGTATGAAAGTTACATATACGTACACTACAAAACTGCATGGTAGAATTAAAGTCAAGGAAAATTATAGAACAATCTCAATCCTTTATTTCGCAAATCATATTCATAATTCTGAGTTAGTATTGTGCAGTTTTAATGTTCACTTATACATGTTTTTTTTTTTTATCAATTAAAAAAAAACATCGTGTTTTAAATCGAGGGCTTGTTTTAAATCAAATTTGAATCAATTAATTTTTCTTTATTTTTTGCATTTTTTATTAAAATACCCTTTGCATCGCCGCGAAACTGCGCCAAAACGTTGCATTCTGGCAGTTACACACGCAGCCGGAACTATAATTTAAAAATTTAAATGAAAATTTTTATTTTGACTTTTACCAATATTGCGTACATTTATCGCCACTTTATATCTCCACCAAAGTCATAAGATTTTACCCGGAATGTTTAGCCGAGATATCAGAGAGACGTTTTGAGTAAGAAAAATCATGAAAATTAGCTCGAGAGCCTACTACAATAGCAATTCGATCAAGTTCGACCCTTTGGCAAAACGAGTGGGTTGCGATAATGAAGAATATGCTTATATCGGCGGTAATCTACTGATATGAACGATGAGACACCCTAACCTAGCCAATGTTAATTGTAAAAGTTCTCTGATGCAAAGACGCCACAACTCCACAACTGTTATGACGCCATAATATGGATTTCGAGGTCATGTATTGACATTTTTCTCATAAAATGAAGTCATTGTTATGGTTTATACTGTTCGGTTAATTTATGCTCAGCATACTTTGTTTTTAAGGTTGAAGTAAGTTTTTCAAGGTTATACAAACTCATTTATTCGATCTCATTTTAATTTTCGCAAGGTGGTTTCATCGCAACAGGGTCGTTCACGTAATGGCTTGTCAGTTGCGTCTTACTGCGCCAACCACTGAACTACAGCTTGAGAAGGTGTGCATGAGCCTCTATCGATATTTGTGGCGTTTTGAAGATTTATGCAAATAAGAAGCGCTTGGCAAAGTTTTTACATCCATTTTTCTTCAACCTATTTAATACAAAAAAATCAAATAGTAATGTTAGACTGTGTTAAGGCCGGCCTCATTACATACATTTTTATCAATGAAATGATTATATATTATTTGTCATATTTTGTGACTTGACCGGTCACAGAAAAAAACATGACGGGTCAGTGAGTGGTTCACGCGTGCTTTAATCGTATTTATTCTGATAAAAATTATTAGGACATCGATAAATTTCATTTCAATTTGCAAAAAAACATCTAAACTGAAAATCTTTGGAAATCATTATTTTACCTATCATCCTAACTCGAAGTTTGTTGCTAATTAATCAATAACAAAAATTCAAAATTGGTCGTCCAACTATGCTCAAAACATTTTCGAGATCCTGGGATCTGGGGTATATGCTACGTGTATACAAATCTGCGGAAAACAACGATCCTATGTTGCAATAAGTGTTCTTGCGAAATTCATCTTCAGAGACGCGACATGTTTTGCGAAAATATTGCAATTCGATAAAAACCTGTTGTATATTACGTCAATAAATCGGCAATTTGACGCGGTACGCCCGAGAAATCGTGGGATGCAGCATATGCAAACTCATAACCATAGACAACTAGGTAAGTCATGACGTCATCAGGAATTGTGTAAACATAAATCTTATCAAAATAATCAAACAGTTAGTGCCACTACTGATAACACAGTTGATAATATATTGTTGATTCAACGATTTGCCAACAAATTTTCTTATATAATGAAAAATTAGAAAATTTGATAAAAAATAAGTAAATTTAATGTAAGTATTGAAGAAATAATAAAAAAAGCCTTTTTTTAGCAAGTTCACACAAGTACTGGTAAATATATTGCAATCACTCTCAGTAGATATCTACACTTCTGTTTTGGTGCAACATTGGACTTATTTTTTTAAATTGAGAAACCAACTCTACCTATAGTGTGCCAATATAACAACATGATGGTAATCTTGCTGAATCGCTATATTTACACAACTCATTCAATGGTAAACGCGAGATAAATACCGGTTTCCTTCAGAAGAGAATATATTATGACATTGTATGTATTAAATCTTAAAACT